GAGGAAGAAAAAAAGAAAAAAAGTTCTATGTTCTCATACAAGAAACCAGTTGCAAATATGGCGGCAATACCAATCTTCTTCGACGTGGGCAGTTGAAGCTTCAGGACGATGGGAAGCGGCAACACGAAGATGGCGATATCTGCTGCGATGTTCACCCCAGCCTGAACCAAGCCAGGGGTAGCCAGGTGGCTGCATTTCGGCAGGATGCTGAGGTCCCACGCTTCTCCATTGTGCGGCATGCAGTAATAGAAACACAGAGGTACTATGGTCCCTGCCGTTAGTTGAGCGGTTCTCGTGCTTGTGGACGGTCGAGCGGTAGGAGTCGGGAGTCTCGGGGCATCTCACCAGTCATCCAGTACGCCCCGAACAGGATGGCGAGAGTGATGTACAGACAAATTCTGAACCAGCGCTCAGGCCGGAACATGCGGTGGTAGAGGATCAGGATCGATACTTTGGAGAAGAAGAGCATAGGGCCATAGAGGAGGCTGGTGACGAAGAGTTTCTGTACCGACTGATCAGCTTCGGGTCTTCCGCACTGCAAAGCCAGGGCAGAGAGTAATTCGGACTCATACCTTGAGATACACTTCGTCTATGGCGCTTAACGGCGTGTCCCAAGCATGTCTCGAGACGGCCTCCGCTGTTTGACAAACATGTGAGCTAACAGTTCGAGGAAATATGGTTTTCCAAGGGAATGATGTTGGTTCTTGACTTACTACTACACACAACTCCAGTGTACCCAGCAGCGATTATAAACGCGATCACGACAAAACCTAGGAGTGTCGTTAGCAAGCACTCTCTCATCAAGTTGGTTCATGTGGAAGGCGCACCATCGTCCAGACCGAAAGGACGTTTGAGTCGATACCAAACAGACAGCCGTAGGACAATTAGCAGAAGCGCAATGGAGCCCAGCGAGATGCCGACTGCTTGGACGGCGACGATGAGAGAAGGTCCATCAGTAAAATTTGGCGGAGCGCCGCTCGGGTTCTCGGCTAGAGGAATCTGAGATAAATCGGCGCCCGGTGGTAGAGCATCCATGGTGATGGAAATTGTGGTTGTTTCCTGTGCTGTGAGGCAGCTAGACGCCTCGGAATGGCAGCATTAAGTAAAGGACCGAAAATGTGATGATGTTGAAGTTGAGATTCGAAGCGACCGTGATCTTTCGTGTTTCGTCCTTTCTGTTCAGTTAAGCTGAACAAACTGCACATGCATTTACCATCGATCTCGTCATGGAATATGCACGACACATGGGAATGAATCGGGTGTCCTGCAGAGAAGGATGATGTGATGGTGTGTTGTATTGGTCTACAATTGGTCAAGATCGGCAGTCCGAGAAGGGCATGTTCGATCCTTCGAATCCCTTTGTGTATCGCTTATACGGCAGCACATGAGACCATCCACCTGGACGATGGACCAGAAGTACGGGTGTACGGGACAGCGGATTCAGCCCGCTGGCTACCCCTAGATGTCGCCGGGGAAGAACCGCAAGGTAGTGAAAGTGAACACTGGCTACGGTTGATGAGGATTTAGCCACAAGGGGCCCTTGTGCGTTGTATAGTTGTAACCCCGGAGGTTCAGGGTTTCAACTTTCATATAACCGATGAATACCTATTGCGGTTCGTTCTACCTACCTAAATAGTCATACTGTCACCCTGGACTGCATGATATGCTTCCGTCTGATCAATGAGATTCGCCCTGGGGGGACGACAAGGAGGGGATAGCTATTGGCCCCCTTCAAGAAAGCTACGTTGTATTCCCGCAGCAATCGCAGCCCTTCAGTCTAGAATCCGCGCCACCAGATTTGCGACTCTCGCTCTCTGACTGGTGGACGAGGCTGACTAACTGGCACACTTACTGTTTCCTTTCCACTATGTAAGCCTTAGGGACTTAGGGATGAGACATTCGTGTGGATGGTTGTTGGTGGGTGGTACGGTATCCATATATACACCACTGACCACGTTAAAGGAAGCCGGGCAGTGGCGTTCTGGTAGTTGTTCTAGTCGTTCGAGCCGGCGCCGATCATGGACAATATCACGTCCTGATTATCGGGGAGTGCGTCGATCATCCGCCATACGAATCACGCACGATCACCTCGAGCTTCTTCTACACGTGGAGATAAACTTCTCCAGAGCTACTACTGACTACTGTACGCCGATCTCTTGTTCGATTTAAACACGTCAAGTGGATAAGAGATCATCCAGATGGGCTAATTTAAGAACCGAAAAGATGCTACCATCGTCGGTAAGTCCTATGGAGGCAGGACTGCCGTAATCAAGGTGTGGACTGCTGCCATATCAGATCCAACTGGGAACCCCGAACCCAAGCGAAACGGAGTTGCATCAACGCTCGAGTCCGAAAAGGAGGGAAGGATCGCAAAATCAGGGTGGGCGCCGGGAGCCAGACCATCTAAGTCCTGATCAGGAAAGGTCTGCAGCTGTAAGTCGACTACCTGATACGTTGTACACTGGTATGATCCGCGCGGGTCTAGCGACTGCCTGGACACTTGAACACCGAAGAGGATATCCCGGATTTCAGGTCACCGAGGGAGTCGGGGCGTCGTTGGTGGCGTAAAGGGGGAGATGCCCTGGTAACATCATATCACAGCCAATCAGGTTCGCCATAGGAAGCCCATAGAACGCCGATAAGTTCATGATACATCCCGTGTATCATCCATGATATTACACGTGTAGTGGTACCTTATGCAGCATCTTGCTGATGTGATTCGATACAAGCGGAATCCCTGCAGTACATGTAGCGTAGGGAAAGTCCCGTTGACTGCTCCAGGGTGCAATGATAGAGGGATCTGGCTGTAGCAGTACCTCCTTCCACCTCCCTTGTATGTTGACAAAGACCTGGTGTCGTGTAACAACTAACAACCTCCCCCGATATAAATATAATATGGCGGCAGCGACAAAAAAAGTGTAATCAGTCATTTACCATCCGAAAATACCCAAGACAAACGTTTAGTCAAATGGGTGGTAATCATTCCTGGTGAAAACCCAGGTCTCCAAGCTCCAATAGTGGCTTACATGGATGTCATGGAAGCTCGACTTCACGTCGGCATAGGTATGCAGTGATACACCCATCACGGCATCAGCCGGCGACCGACGTTTGTATTCCAGTCAGGTACGGGGGCACATGTTATCTGGCGACCGCTATGATTGGACCGACTATGTCGAGATAAGAAGGCGTGGCTGGCCTTATCCGCGCTACGGCACTACGTGTAGGTTGACCGGGACGGCACGTTCGCACAAGTACCGACCCCTGGTCCCACACGGGGTGCACGGGCCCGGCCGTAGGTGGGTCCCCCGTCCATTTCCGGCCTCGGTCGTTCTCCACAACGCCACAACGTACCCCAGCACACCACCCTCTTGAGTATCCTATGCAGAAAGAGTTATTAGGACCGCATATCCGAGGATCCTTGCAAGGACATGGCATATTGACGGTTCCTATCCTTTGATGGTTTAGATCACGCCACTCATCCCCGTCGTATAAGTTCTATGTACCCTGTAACCGTGCATACTGCGGTTGGAGTCTTGGAGATATGGTTGTTTCTCGGTCAGATATCATGGTTGAAGTAGATCTATTCTACCCTGAAAAAGCGGTGGGAACATCCGCTCTTCTCTCGTGAGGAACTTCCGTTGCGCTAGTTGGCAGTCCTGCGCTTTCAAACACGTAAAACATAGCATCAGCGTTACCCCGATGTGATTCACCAACACCAGATGCAGGACACGCCGAGCATCTGAGATAGCAGACTAGCAGTCTGTAGATACGGCTTGCGCAGGAGGAGAAGCAACAGCAGCCTGTCAAATTTGCCACGAGGGGAAAGGAAAAGGGTTCTTATACTCGGCTGCTTCTTCCACTTGAGACATCTGGATGCGCGTCCCCTACTCGAAAAGGGACGATCCGGACTCCGGTCTCACAAGAACTTAACATAACCACTTCTACGCCCAGGGCCCGCCGTAATAGCCCGTTCCCCAATTTTTCTTTATTTTAATTTTATTCTTTTGAAATTGCCAACGACCAAAGACAGTAATTCGCCAAGATGGATTTGCTCGTTTCCCCTTCTGCAGAGGCATTGGCCCGCTTGTTGGCGCCGGTGACGTTTCTGTTTTGCTGTGTGCCTGTACTCTGGATGGTTGTTGTGGTGAGCAGTCCCGCATGCAGTCCCTGCCGCATCCCTTGAGGCTCTTGATATTGACAAGGAAGAAGAAACCTCGTGTCAAGTCGACGACATCGTTCCTGTCGGAAGTGAAAGGCCGTCTCAAGACAAGATGGGACCTGTTCACTTATCCCATTACCGCCAATGGAAGGATCAGAGCTGCATATGCTCAGGTATGCTGGCCGCTGTAGCTGTAGCCTTTCCAGAGTCCAGACCAAGATGCTGCAACATGATGGAGAAGCTACTGCTAACCCGTCCCTTCGCGCCGGCAGATGAATGGAAAGGCTCTTCGGATGCACTCACCCGAGAGCTGGATGACGCTGGTCTCCTCCCCTGAGCTCATCAAGGATATCAAAACGGCCACCAATGATCAACTGTCTCTTCATGCCGCCGCCAAAGAGGTATGTGAATGTCGATGAGACATTCCGTTCCCGCTTTTTCTTCAGCAGGCATTGACAGTCACCAGATCCTCAAGCCAGGGTATACTATGAATGGCTTCAACTGGCATGACCAAAGAGGCATTGAAGGCATCGGATTCGTTAGGACCCTGCGCACCCTGTTGACGAACCACCTGCCACAACTGACGCCGGGCGTCCGTGGCATTATCGACAGGACTTTTGCCCAAGAAGTCGGATCAGGCGGAACTGTCAATGGTCCGTCACCCCGCATTGCTCCTACGTATTTACTACGTGTCTTGTGATCTTTCGCGAACTGACGGCAAGCGCACCATGCAGTATTAACCCTCAGTAAGAAGGTCGTCACCAAGATCAGTGCCTACTCCTTCTTCGGCCTGGACTACGGTACGTTCTGTCGTTCTGAAGGCACCGCTGGACGATGTGCTGACGTGCTGGCATAGCGGAAAACAACGAGTTTATCGATGCCGCATACTACTACAACGAAGATGTGTTGTACGGGTCCGAGTTGCTCCGACTCGTGCCCGGCTTCCTTGTGCCGTGAGATGTTCCTTGCTGGGCACTCTGCTCATTACCCATCTCGAGACCACTAACTGAGTCTCTTTCCAGGGTTGTCGGGGCCTTTATTCCCATGTTTCTGAAGCGACAGCGCACCTTTTTCTATGGGCTTGTCGATATCATCGAGGGCCGAATGAACAACCCTGATCCGACAGTGAAATATGTAAGTGAGACGTCTGGCTTCGTTTGGTGACGCAGAACGGTTTGGTTTCTGACTTGATGGATACATGTATAGAACGATGTGATTCAGTGGATTATCGACACGTCGCCCAAGTCCAACCCCTGGACACCTCCCAGGATGGCGTTCGAGGTGATGGCGATTTGGTTTGGCTCGGTCCAGGGACTTGCAACGGTATGAGTCTACCATCAGAGAGTATCCGAGTAGAGTAGTACTATGCTAATCAAGCAGGGCGAATTTTTAGACCTTGACATTTGCCATCTACAGCCTTTGCGAGAATCCGGAGTACATTGCACCCCTTCGCGAGGAGATGGAGAGTTCGGCCGGCGGCGAGTTTTTCGTCCAGGGAGAAGGTCTTCCGCTCATGGATAGCTTCTTGAAGGAGTGCTCACGATGGACACCCGTTGAATCTGGTGAGTTGCCCCCTTATTTGGACCGTGCATGTGCGGTATGCCGGGTATCCCCTGCAAGACAGTGCGCTGATACTGGTTCATCATGCCAGTGACCGCCCGCAGATGTGCCCTGAAAGACTTCATCTTCTCGGACGGCACCCGTGTGGCAAAAGGCGAGTGGGTTGGGATCCCCATAGGGCCTATGCTACGGGATGCGTCCATGTACCCGCAACCTGATGTCTTTGATGGTTTCCGCTTCGTGGACCCGAAGATACTGCGAGGGTTGGGGCAGAAATCGACTCAGCCAGAGGGACCATCCAAGTTTACAGATGTGTCCGAGACGTGGCACGTTTGGGGGACGGGGAAACTGACTTGGTACGTGGAAGCCACACGATATCCATCACGAACTCACAAGTTTACTGACTCTGCTGTCTTCCCTTGTAGCCCCGGACGGTTCTTCGTATCATATGTCATGAAGCATGTCATGTATCACATCTTGGATAACTATGACCTGGAGATGGACACTAACCGCAAAAATACGGTTCATTGGCGAACATTAACCCTGCCTAGCCCTGGTGTGAAGGCCAAGCTCACGGCTCGGGTATAACAAATACCACCAGACATTTAAGTTAAGCTGGGATCTTGATATGATAAAATTGGTGCTATGGACTGGAATTCTTAGGTAGACTACCATAAATCAGCGGTGATTCGCGTCGCTCCCCTGTCCTGCATGATACGACCTTGATCCTTCGATGCAATATCTCCACCGGTGAAGGCCGCCAGCACTGACCGGCCGAACTTCCACCATCCCTTCCATACTACCTACCATATTTCAATGTTGTTATCTTATGGCAAGGTCGGGTCTGGTAGTTAGTTTGGATACATGGAGATAAGAGAATGAGACGCCACCAATAACCAGCACATGAGACCAACACGCCCCTTGCATGCCCTGATTCCCTGCAAATACAGCCCCTGACCCCCCTGTCTCGCCCACCGTCAACCCAACCGATGGCGATTTAACTGCAGCCGAGCCGGGGAAAGGCAATTATCAAGTATTACCCCTGGTTCTTAACCCAGTTGAGCCCAGCCCCTTTTCCTTGCCCTCAGTTATTCTGCTTCGCCAACACGTCCAACCCAGTATTAATCTGCACACCGCTGTCCTGCATCACAGTAAGCTGTAGGTAAAGCACTTGACATTATCTCACAATCTCTTCCCCGCATCGAACGCTCGAAAAGGAGAGGCTGGGCGCATCACATACCATGAGCGAGGTAGGAAGATAAGACGTGCCAAATTTAACAGCCCCCGCACTGGCACCATACCAAAACCTGCCCGTCCGGCCACCGATGATCTCGGCCACCACGCGCTGCGCATAGTCGTCTGCCTCCATTCTAGGTGCCCCTTCTTGGCCGCGGGCCCTATCGCGAATGGTCGACTCTACCGGCGCATACAGAGACCCCTCCGGGAGCTTCCAGTCGTCGAAGTGCGTCTGGACCATGGTCTTGAGAGCGCCGGTAACCACCGAGAGGACCTTGACCTGAAACGGCGCGAGCTCGAGCCGTAGTGTCTCCGCCATGATCTCCCCCGACCTCTTGGATGCGGCATAAGCGCCTGTGTAGGTAAATGGCCAAGGCCCACGTCAGCTTGGCGGGGAAAACGCCATCACACCGGAAAGCAGCACGCACGACCGGAAGGTTCCTGGAGGGCGCACGGGACCTGAGCCGTCCCGTCCCCCCCTCCCCCCTTGCCATGCGTGGGGGAAACACACCAGACCTCTCACCTTGGTAGGGCACATTAAGATATCCGGCCACAGACGAGATGAAAACAAGCGTCCCCTTCGCCTTGATCAACAGCGGCGCAAAGGCCTGCGTCACCGCCAGCGGTCCCCAGACGTTGGCATCGTATATCTCTTTGGCAGCGTCGATGTCCTGGTCTAGCAGCGGCATGAAGTGGTTGCGACCGGCGCAGTTGACGAGGTAGGTCAGGGTGCCCCCCGTGTGGCGGCTGACCGCGTCCGCGGCGGCTGTGATGTCGGCGGGTTTGGTCGTGTCGAGCTGGAGGAGCGTGATGTCGGGGAGGCGCTCGAGCTTCGACATGGTGGCTGGGCTGCGGGAGGAGGCAAAGACGTGGTAGCCTTGCTTTTGGAAGACTTGGGCCATGGAGGAGCCGGCGCTGCCGTCGCTGCAGCCGGTGATTAATACGGAGCCTTTGGAAGCCATGCTGCTGGGTGTAGAATTCATGGTGAGCAGAGGTTGATGGGATTTGATTCTACGAAGAACGGGGGCAAGGGTGCAGTGCATGTGTCTAAGGTCTCCGAAAGTATTGATAGTAAATATACCGAGGCTGAGGCTTTGTGAGTGCAACTCCGAGGGCCGACAGCAATGGCGAAGACGAAGACTCCCGTCGAACAGGTGTCGGTCCAACGTGAACGACCACCCCTGAAAGCGCACCATCAAACAAAGCAGAGCCAACCAACGTCTTTGTATACGTCTGGACCATGCCCATTCTGTCTGTGTGCTGCTGTATGTAGCCGAAAACACCCATTCCATAGATAGCAGGTGGCTAATTAGCAGTTCACCCTTGCATGATTCCTAGTTTTCAGTATGACGTTCGTCATCCCTCATTATATGCCTGCACTTTCACATTAAAAGTGCATAAGGGGGCTCCTTGTCATCTAATATATCAAATCCTACTACCGGCATGCCTCCGGAGATTATAAGCTCAAAAAAGCCGATCAGGTAGGGGGCCCCTGGGGGGCATTTGGTATTCTTCAGCATCCCCATCCCCCCAATGCTCGCGTAGCCGACAAGGGTGAATTCAGGAGAAGAAAGGATCGATGTGACCACAACAAGCGATAGCTTTTCAATATAAGAGATGGGTCAACACCACGGTAGCGGTAGCCACGTGGACGAGGGCGAGGCACACCCACCACTTGACGTTTTGTAGGATCCCTTTTGTTTATCCGACCTCGGTGCCACTGTCACTGTCACTCTGCCGAGTCCTAGGCCTACCTCAGCCTGCCGCCATGCGCCCCCTATCCTCCGGTCTACATCTGCGCGCGTTACACCTCCTCCTCGCGTTCTGCACACCTGTCACCTCCCAGTGTCCCAACGGCGACCAGACATGCCGAGTCTTGGCCTCTCGCTTACCAGACCAAGTAACCTTCCCAGGCGATGAGGGCTACGACGCTTCCCTATCATCATACGCCTACCTGCAGCAGCAGACGCAGTCTCCCTCTTGCGTCGTCAAACCGACCAGTGCCGCCGAAGTAGCCTTTATCCTGGACGTGCTGCGAGAGTCGCCGTCCACCACTTTCGCCGTCCGGAGCGGAGGCCACGCGACGAATCGCGGATTCTCCAACATCGACGGCGGTGTCACAATAGACTTGGGCTCCCTCAACAAAGTCGACGTCCACGATGATGGTGTAACCGTCTCTGTCGGAACCGGTGCCACTTGGGGGCACGTCTACCCCGTCCTGGACGCCCATAACAGGTCCCTAAACGGAGGTCGCGCATCTGACGTCGGGGTCGGGGGCTTCCTTTCAGGAGGTAGGACACGTCACACATCCGCTGCTCTGTGCTGCTTACAAGACTGGAGTATTAAAAAAAAATACCACCCTGCTAACCACTCGCTTGAACGGTAGGAGGAATCGGCTTCTTCTCCCTCGAGCATGGTTTCGGATGCGACGCAGTGGTGAACATGGAAGTCGTGCTTTCCAGCGGAGATGTCATCAACGCCAACGCCACGTCGCATCGCAAGCTGTTCAAGGCGTTGAAGGGCGGCCAGAACAACCTGGGCATCGTTACCCGATGGGACCTCACCACTGTCCATGTCCCCGAAGGCAGGATTTGGGGCGGCACTCTGGTCTACCCGACCACCACCACCGATGAGCAGCTGGAGGCTTTCACGAACTGGAAGACCGGGGCCGACTTTGACCCCCGGGCTTCCGCTGAGCAGAGCCATGTGTATATCGGATCGATGGACCAGTTCCTCGTCGCCACCTCGCTTCACTACACCGCGCCCGTGGAGTTCCCGGAGAGTCTGAGGAACTTTACCGCTATCCAGCCGCAGTGGGACAGCACGCTGCGCATTGCTCCCGTGGCGGAATTTGCGGCCGAAGTGCAGGCGCAGAGTACCCCGAACCAGTAGTAAGTTGATCATTCTCTCGCGCTGTCTCTGTTTCCCCTGTCTCCATTTACCTACCCCTGAAATCCCCAGCCGGAATACGTGCTCAACTGACACGAAAGAAAAACAGCTCCATCTTCGCCACCACGACCATAAAAATCTCCCCCACCATCCTAAAGACAGTCCATGCCCTTTGGCAAGACTCCGTCCGCCACCTATCGAGCGGTGCGACGGTGACATCCTCCATGACCCTGCAATCCCTCCCGGCACCACCCCCCGCCGACGAACCCTACCGGGAAAACAGCTTCGGCTTCGACCCGTCCTCGACCCCGCAGAAAGACGACGTGCTGGTCCTGATCTCCAACTTCTGGGACGACCCTTCCGTCGGGGTCGGCACACGGGTGCGGGAAGCCGCCAGGCGGTTCATCGCCAGCGTGGACAGTGCGGCCGAGGCCGAGGGCCTGGCGAAGGAGTTCAAGTACATGAACTATGCGGGTGCTGGGTTCCAGAGCCCGCTGGAGAGTACGGGGCAGCTGGGGTTCCTGAGGAGGGTGGCGCGGTGTTACGATGGTGTTGGCATGTTCCAGCGGCAGGCTGTCGGAGGGTGGAAGTTTGATGTGTAGTGGTTGCCTCTGTCTTGGTCTCGATATCGCATTTCTTGGCCGTAATCTTGACTGAATAATTAATACGTTACGCCATTGTTCTAAGATGTTGGTATGAATCCTTGCGTCAACACATGAGTATCACGACTCGAGAGAAGCGGATGGAAGATGAGATTACAACCAACTTTGTGAATAGGGAGACGAGGACTCCAAGCAGGTTGATCGTATCTGCAGAGCTTGGCTCTCGTCTGGATCGTGATGGAGCCTGGTCGTTGAAGAAAGCAGGCAAAGCCCTCGCAGTGAGAGGAGTCTCCCTGCTCGACGGGGATACAAAGGACGCCGAATACCAAAAACCAGACTCCTTCCAACCCGCCGGCCCCAAGACAGGGAATCGCATCTAATAGCCCGTGCTTGGTACTCCAAGAAAAAAGAGAAGAAGAAGAAAAAAAAGCCATCTAGAGATTCCCGGCATACCCCCCAATAGTGGCAAACTGCTGCTGATAATCCCTCAGACTTGCCCAAAGCCTCAACTCCTCCTCCTCATCCTGCTGCGTCATGCTCTGGTCCCCGACATTCCCATGCCCCGTCCCCTCCAGCTTGACCAGGAAATCAATCAACCGCCCCAGCGCCCCCTCCGACTTGATCGCCAGCGGGCCCTTCCTCTCCGGCGCGTCGTTGAGCAGCGTGGACGCCACCTGGCGGATCTTGTTGATGAGCGACCCGCCATTCGGCTCCAAGTTGCGCTGCGAAATGGCCCCCAGCACGTGCAGGAGGTTCTGGACGATGAGTTCCCGCTCGGCCGTCATGAGCTCGAACACGCGCTCCGCCTCGGCCTCCTCGGCCTCCTTGGCCGTCGTGCTCGCTTCGTCCGCAGCATCATCACCGGGAGCCGCCGGCTTGGCGTTCGCGTCGGCGAGGTGGATGTCGCGGAGGTTAAAGTACAGCTCGACGAAATACGACCGCGTGGCGAGCTGCGAAACGAAAATGTTGGCTTTCTGTATCTCGTACTGCAGCTGGCGCCGGCGCTGCGCGTTCCCTTTGATCACGTTGCGCACGTCGTTGGCCGGCGGCGGCTGGTGGTGGCCCGGGTACGCGGGCGGCACGTACTGCAAGTCGCCGACGACGGCGTCGAACGTGGTGTCGAGCCCGCCCGCGAAGGCGTTGTTGTTGCTGCTGTTGTTGTTGTTGTTGGACGGGTCGTGGTTCGCGTTGAGCTGCAGCTCGGGCGGCAGCCGGTCGATGATGTCCTTGGCGGCGATCAGGGCGTCGCGCAGCATGGCGCGCTGGTCGGGCCAGGGAAGGGTGCTCATGCCGTACACGAGCTCGACGCTGACGATGGCGTTCATGGTGGTGTAGATCTCGACGGCGAAGCGGAAGCCGGTGAGGAGGGTGACGCTGTTGTTTTCGGAGAACTGGATCTCGTTGGCCATGATCCACCGGTCGTCGACGTTTTCGGGCAGGGCGGGATACGGTAAGCTGGGCGTCGAGGGGGGGATGACGAGCTCGGCGTGGGAGACGCCTAGTTGGGAGAAGGAACTAGTATAAGATGATCGGTTAGCACGCGGAGCCCGATACCAACATTACTCCGAGAGAAAAGACGGACAAGGGAGGGAAGGGGAGGAAGGGGGGGGAGGAGAATTACCGAACACCGAGAAGAAGACACCAAAAAATCCGCTTGCCAATCTGGTCCTTGATGTGGTGGAAAGGCAGGGGGTCGGTCGGGTTGGTGTCGTGCCCCCCAAACGTGGGTAATTCACCCGGATTCCTGGGCCGATGGAACCCCAACTCCCGAATCAGCGTCAAGCACTCGGCGGTAAAGTAGCGGTACAAATTAACGTTGAGGGTGTAGCCGGCCGCCAGTCCCAGAAAGTAGCTGGTGGCGGCATCGTCCAGCGTCTTGGGTTGCTTGGCCGCCCACCTGGGGCCGCGCGTGTCCAGGGCGATCTCGCGGCACTTCTCGATCATGACGATGGCGCGCGGGAACAGGTGGGTGCTGTGCTGGGACTTGAGGTGCTGGCGCGCGCTGCGGGGGAAGGAGGCGACCAGGGCGCCGATCATGGAGGCCAGGAGGCTCAGGAACTCCGGGTGGGTGCGGTCCTGGCGGTTGGCAAAGGCGTCGCGGAAGGTGGGCTCGTGGGGGAAGGGGCAGAGCGGGTGGATGTAGGTGAAAAAGTCGTCGACGAGGAGCTCGAGCACCGGCATGGGCGCGATGGCTTCGGCGTCGAGACGCGCGGCGGCGGGGCCCTCGGCGATGGCGACGAGGGTTTGCGCCGCGTTGTGGGGGGATGCCCCCGTTACCGCCCCCGTCACCACGCCCGTCACCACGCCAGGGCCAGGGCCAGGGCCAGGAGCAGCTCCTCCTCCAGGGCTGTAGCCGTAGGTCTGGCCGGGGCCGGGACCCAGGCGAGGGCGCTGGGCGGCGCGGGCAGCCTGGGCGTGCTTGTTAGGCGGTCCACGGCGTTTCAGTTCGCGGTTGAAGGTGCATTCCACTTGTAGATCCAGGCAGGGTTTGCATGGGGGTCCGGATTCGTCGCACTTGACCTTGCGTTGCGAGCACATGTCGCAGGCGCGTCGGAGGCGGGTCAGTTTCGGGTTGAGGCTCGAGTCTCGTGTCGTGGGGGTGGTCATCGGGGCATAGATGATGCCTCCCATCGGGGAGGCGCTGGGCGAATGATGCAGGGGTAAAGGGGCCGGCTGTTGAGGGGTCGCTCCGAAGTGTGGTTGCGGAGGGGGCTGCGGAGGACTGACGGCGAAATGCTGTTGCGCATTCTGCAAGGCCTGGGCGGCATCGGTGGCCGCCTGGAGGACTTGGAGGCCATTGCTGGCGTAGAGATGCGCATCGGAGGTTGAGGGTATTGGGTGGTGGGAGACTTGGTGGTCTTGGTGGTGGTCTTGGTGGTGGTCTTGGTGGTGGTCTTGGTGGTGATCCTGGAGGTGGGCTTGGTTGGGATGGTCGGTTTGGTGGGAGGTCGTTTCGGTCGGATTCGGGGGAGGGGGAGAGGGATAGGTGGCAGTTGCGATGGCAGCAGCGACGGCGGCAGATACAGGTGTGGTCGAATCCGCGCCGTGAAGAGATGCAGATGCAGGCGGGACTGTGTTCGTGGGTGTCGCGGGTCTGGCGTCTTGCTGTTGGTCTTGCTGTTGCTGTTGCTGTTGCTGCTGCTGCTGCTGCGAGGATGCATCAACCGACGGTGTCTCCTGTTGTGGATAATGCTCAGGATGTTCGCGTTGGAGTTCGATCTTCTGTCCCTCCCCCTGGCCTTCGTCTTTCGGCTGGGGTTCGTGTGGTTGTTGATCATCAGCCATAGCCATGGTCGAGTTGTATTGGCGGATTGCTCTGGCTGATCGTCGGAGAAGCTCCGGAGCTCGATGCAGGATAGACGGGGGATTCGGGCGACTCGGAGGTTTCGGTTGCTTCGAGGAGGTTTTGCCAAACTTCCGACGCCGATGTTTTGACGAGACTAAGACCTTGAATCACGAGGTTGTTCACGTGAGCCTTAGTCAGTCATCAATAACGTGACAGTTATCCTCACCGTATCGGACCGAACCTGCACGGTGCTGACTAATTACAAACGACCAGCAAATTACACTACTTCATAGGAGTCCCAGGACGACCTCCACCACCTCTTGTCTCTCTTCATAGGATTCATCCATCTCTGATGCCAGGGATGCAACTTGACAAGCCGGCGAAACACTTCGAGCACGAACAGACACATGAGACGTGCCGTCTGCAGGTAAAGCCACATCAAGACAGACATGCAGCACTTGACCGAGGTGACGACATCGAAGGCGTGAGAGAAGCCAGACACTCTATTTCAACTCCTCGTCCAGAGGGACAGCAGCCTTCCCTGCCGGCCCATGTTGTCTACCTGCGTGTCGATTGTGTTGTGGTGGGAGAGTACGACTGTACGACTTGGTGGTTAGGAGTTTGGAAAGGGGGCTAATGGTAAAGGGGTAAAGGGGTAATGGCGAGCTACCATGGAGATACGAATAACGGGACTCTTACGAGTTCTGACGGTTCAATGTTTGGAAAGGAAAAGCAGATGAGAGCCTCAACTCTCGAAACCAAAGTATATAGTGTTATTTTTCTCGACATATATAATAAGCAGTCGGCAGTCGGTAGTCGGTACGCCTGTCGTGCAAGGTAAGGTAGTGGCAGGAGGCCTGTCCTGACCCGTTGTACCAGCATTCGTCCGGCAATAGGCAAGATGAGAGAGGGTAGGCAGGGTAAAGACACTAGAATGGGTCATGGAGAAGCCGGCGCTCACTTCCACCGACGACATCCCAAGGCCGCTTCTATCCCTACCCCCGCCTCCTGGTCCACACCTACGAACAGGAGCTGCAGATACGCGGCTCTACCGGGCCTGGTGGTCATGGCAAGCCAAAGACCTGGCCGCGCGTAAGAAGGACATGAAGCTGACGGCCCGGGTGAAGGACATGAAGCATATCCGCAAGGGGCCTCTGTGCTATACTTACGACTTCTGTACTCTGTACTGAAGCGGCGTTGAGTAGAGTATCCAGATGGGGAGGGTCTTGCACTTGACATCTTCATCTTGTAGGAGCTGAGGGCTCGAAGACAACATGAATAAATAAGGACTGTCCTTGACTCCATGTCCTTATCAGTGGCAGGGCACGTCCATATTCCCCCACGCGGTCAAGACTCAGGGACGCGATCTAATTGAGTAATCAACCCAATCATTCCCGTTCCACAACGGCTGTAATCTCGATAACGAAGCGAGACGGCGTGGATCATGCGAGATGCGACGGACTGGGCGGCGCTCGGTAAATGCTAAACATAGAAGACGCTCACGCCTCCCGCGTCATCGCCTCCCCCTTGGTCGAGATGGATGAACGATGGGTTTTCCGGCTGGTTGCTGTGGCTTTTCTTTCTGTCCACATGCATCTTGTTTTATTTATTAGCTACAATTTTCCACTTCTTCGACTGTTCGACACATCGGCCAGCTTTATAACCAAGTCCATCTGCCACCGGCAGCCAACTCCAGAGTCCCAACCTTCCCCTGGCGAAGACGACGGTGACCCGACGCTTCCGCAGCCACTAATGGAAACATACACGCCGCCGCGTCCCCCTCGTTCCGCGGACAACCTCCCTCTACCGAAAACGAACCACGATTCCGACAAGCACCGACGAGACCGCCCCCGAGATGACTCCGAGTCTGACCTGAGCATCGGCATGCCGCCGGCCTCTCTCGACCCCGAAACCAGCCGTCTGCTCCCCGCGAGTCGGAGAAAACAACATCGGGTGCGTGTGCAAGGCCGTCTTGTGCTGGTGCGGAGCGTGTCGACGGCGCATCTTGGCCCTGTGGCCACGGCGGATAACCAAGCGGCGCCCACATGCAGTATACCCAGTCCCGGTCTCGGTGCGAGATTTGAGACTGGCGTTGGCGCAATGATGAAGAATCGTCGGCAAAAAAAAGGCAAAGGAGGGAGGAGGAGAAGTTTGGGTGATGCCGAGGAGGAGGATGACGATGATGATGACAAGGACAAGAGTGAGGAAGAGGCAGAGGAGGAGACTGCGACACGGGATCGGCAGTTTAGGGGCTACGGCATTGGCGGCGCAGGGAATATTAGTGAGTCCAGTCAAGTCCTTTCTGCTTCCTGCACATTATAGGGGGCTTTCGGGGAGGGCTGCCCCCTGGAACCGCTATAGGACCGCTAACAGGCTTGGCTCTGGTAGGACGTCCCACCGAGGTGTACGGCTCATCGACCTCGAGAAAGGGATGGAGCTTGAGACATTGGATAGAGAGGATGGGGGATCGAAAAAGCAAGGGAACATGAGTGAGAGGTGATTTCTAAGATGGTGTCGTCCTTCGTCCTCTTGCATCCCGGCCGTGAATATCTACTATCTACTGTAAATATCCCCCGCCGCAAGACGGACTGCGCCTAATTTCTCCCTCCTCCCACCCCCAACTGCATGAATCACATGCAAACAATTGCCCATCACCATCCAAGGGACAGACAGACACACAAATGTCCATAAAAAACGTAGCCCTCGTGGGCGCAAACGGCTCCCTCGGCTCCGTCCTCCTCTCCTCCCTCGTCAACTCAGGCGCCTTCACCATAACCGCCATCATCCGCCCCAGCTCCTCCTTCACCTCCCCCTACCCCGCCTCCCAAGTCCGCGTAGCCCACACCGACGACGCCCTCTCCTCCGCCTCCCTACAAGAGGTCCTAGCAGGCCAAGACGCCGTCATCGCCGCCTTCCGCTACCACGACCCAGACGCCCACATCCGCCTCGTCGAAGCCGCCGCCCTCGCCGGCGCGCGCGTCTTCATCCCCGCCGACTTTGGCAGCATCGACGCCGACCACCCGCGCGCCCGCCAACTCGTGCCGCTGTACAACCACAAGCTCGCCGTGCGGCGCCGCGCCCAGGAACTCGCCGAGGAGTTCGCGCCGCGTTTCACCTGGACGGGCATCGTGTGCGGGCATTTCTTCGAGTGGGGGGTTCGCGAGGGGCATTTCCGCGCCGACTTGGCGAGGCGCGTCGCGGATGTCTTGGATGGCGGGGAGCATCGGGCGAGCACTACCACGCTGGCGAGGTTGGGGGAGGCCGTGGTGCGGATCCTTGAGCTGAGTCAGGGGGAGGGCGGCGGCCCTTCGTCCGAGGCTATTAGGAATAAGACGCTGTTTTTGCAGAGCTTTTGCATCTCGCAGAATGAGCTTGTTCGCGCGTTGGAGAGGGCTACGGGGTCGACGTGGGATGTCAACCCTCTTGACTCGGAGGAGTTCATCCGGGAGAGCAAGCGTAGGGTCGACGAGGGGGGTAAGGAGGCTGTGGAAGATGTGGTTTTCGCCCTGGGTGCCTTGTATTCCGACTGGACTCGGCGCGAGGACTTTAGGATCACCATGGAGACGTTGGGCTTTGAGGACGAGGATTTGGATGAGGCTCTGGCTGCCGCATTGCGTGGGTAGACTACACGGGAAAGGGACAGACGAGACGAGTAGCCATAGAGAGTCTATTTCCAAGTGTTCATAAGAACTTGACATGAATGAAAAGATGTACGAGTGATTCTTGTAAGATGATACCGTCAAGACCTCCAAGTTACCGTTGAGTATGGATCAGCTTCGAGGCAGCTTGTTCTTCCAGCTCTGGCTCCCGCTCACCTGGGCTCACCTGTGCTCCTCACGATCAGCAGCCGAAACGCCTCACCCTTAGTCTTCCACAACAAATCACACCATCTTCATGCACGCCTGACGATCTTCCAGCCTCTCGCCGTGATAGTCCCAGAATACCTTGCTTAGACCTTGACGGCAGGATCCACCCCAGGAAGGGATTTGACGTCAACTAGAGAAAAGGGAAGGTCGTAAAGACGAAGACTCTCATGATGGTGTTTTGCATCTAGATGGAGGGGCCGATCACCGTCTATCGCTCCATCGACCACCCAGAAACTCGCCGATCAACACCACTGGTATTTCACCTGCCGCAACGTGCTTCGTTGATCGTCCATCTTTCCCGGCAGGTCCCCCTCGTCCGAGAGGGGCAAAGTTCCACATCGTGTTGATCTTCAGGCTCGGTGGCGGGGCGAGAGAAGTGGAATGTGAGCTATGAGACACATCCAAGGCTTCCATCGACCGCTGGGGCATATAAAGACGGGTCGAAAGGACTGTTTATGAAGCATCCAAAAGGGTCACATATCATCCAGAGCAAGACATCTCAGACAAGTTCCAAGTCCAAGTTAAAGCAACACATTATTTCGTTCATCTTAAGCACATCTGCCTTACCCCTATTCATCCAACATGGCCAAGTTCTCTACCATCACTCTCGCCCTCCTCGGCGTCATCTCCCAGGCCCGCGCTCAGTGTGTCGGCCCCGCCGTCAACGCCGCCAGCATCAACCTGATCAAGGAGTTTGAGGGTTGGTACCCCGACATCTACATCGACCCGGCCGGCTATCCCACCGTTGGTTATGGCCACCTCTGCGCCGACGCCAGCTGCTCCGACGTGCCTTACGCCATTCCGCTGTCCGAGGCGGACGGCGAGAATCTGCTCCGCGACGACGTTGCCGTACATCCCCCCCTTTCGTGAAACAAGCACAAGAAAATGAACAGGAATTATACTAACGACCCCCAAAGCGCTTCCAAAACTGCATCACCCTGCAGACCGCCTCCTCGGTCGTCCTCAACGCCAACCAGTACGGCGCCCTCGTCTCGTGGGCCTTCAACGTCGGCTGCGGCGCCTCCGAGACCTCGTCCCTCATGCTCCGCCTCAACGGCGGCGAGGACCCCAACACGGTCGCCGCCGAGGAGCTGCCCCGCTGGAACCAGGGTGGCGGCCAGGTCCTGCCCGGTCTTGTCCGTCGTCGTGCTGCCGAGGTTGAGCTGCATCAGACGCCTACTGACGAGCCTGCCCTGCCTGCTTGCTCTTAAGGTTTCGCTGGATTCGTGAGGGTTGGAGGACTAGGATGCCAGGATAGGGGTGTGGTATGTATGGTAGTGGACCTAAGTGGTTTGGATAGGCAGAGAGTAGTTGTTGTAATCTCAGACCTCAGTGTGGTCTCGTGTATGAATGAGATGGTTCAAAACTCGATATGTTTCAAAAAAAGAACACTGAAAAACAAATCATTCGCGGCCGACCTTAATCTTACCCTACTACACATTCACTCCATCAATCTATCCCTCGACCGTATGCCAGTGATACGTCCAGTCCTTCTGATGTCGAGAAAGCATCTTGATACCTGTCCCCCTGAAGGCGAAGATGACAACTGCAAAAAAAAACAGAAACTTACACTCGCTTAGAGCTCATCGTGAGCCGCAGCCTGTTCCTGCTGTCCCTCCTGACCCTCCTGACCCTCCTGACCCTCCTGACCCTCCTGACCCTCCTGGCCCTCCGGCTGTCCACCCCCTCCGACAAACACGGGATTCCCCTCCTCGTCAAAGGCGACCTCGCCCACCTGCCCCCTGGGCGCGCCGCCCGACAGCCCCTCGCTGATGAAGCGGATGATGGTCTCGAGGTCCATTTCCTTCTTGGTGAAGAGCATGATCTGCATGGTGGCCGGGTTCTGGAGCGCCATGGCGGGGAAGTGCTCGTTGGGCAGGCCGACCTCGGTGACGATGTCGCCGAACTGGAGCGGGTTGGAGACGACGATGTCGAGCTGGTTCTCGTACTGCTTGGCGGTGTCGAGGATGTCTTCGGCGAACCTGGCGCGGGCGTTCTGGTCGGCGTCGAAGTAGTAGAGCACGGCGCGGGTTTTGCTCTGGATGGGCTGTCAGTGGGCGGACGGGGGAGGAAGTAGGAGTAGAACGAAGGAGACGAAATTAAAATAACAAAAGACAGGGGCAGGGACAGGGACAGGGACAGGACAGGACAGGACAGGACAGGACAGCAAAGCTCACCTCCACAAAGCCCTGCGCATTCGGCATGGTCATCGTCTTGACCAACCTCTCGCCGCACCTCTTCACAAACTGCGCAAAGCCCTCGACCGAGTCGAAAAAGGCGTCAAACTCGGCTTGTCGCTTGTCGCGGTTGTTGTAGCAGCGCAGCACGGTGGGCGCGCCCTCGCCCTCCTCCTCGGCCGAGTTGTCCTTGTCCCGCCCGACGATGGCGAAGCTGTAGCGGTCGCCGTACTCGACGGCCAGGTCGTGGAAGCGCTTGTACAGGCCCCGGTTGGCGTCCTCGGGCCGCAGGTGCAGGATGAAGACGACGTCGTCGGACTCGGGGAAGGTGCGGAGCGTGGTCGAGTCGAGGCTGCCGACGATGGGGCGGATGGAGCGGCGGACGAATTTGACGATTCTGCGGTGGTTTAGCACGAGCGTCCTTCGTGTCAAAGGAGAGACGGAGGGAGTTGAGGGCTGTGCTGGGGTTATGGAAGTAAGTCTCGGGTCTGAACGTACTCATCTCCCATCCGGGGCCCGCGGTACCGGGAAAAGAGGGCTCCGTTGCGGTACAGCCTGACGCTGGGGTAGGTCCGGACATCGTGCTCCAGGCAGAGATCATTCTCGGCGGTGCAGTCGACGGAGAGGTAGCGCTCGGGAAGCTGGTCCTTGACGTAGGGCCATTGCCATTCGAGTGCTTCGCTTTCCCATCTAGACTGGGGTGTTAGCATGAAGCTCTCGTGCGAGGAGGCAGGAGAAGTATGAACATGAACTTACATCGATTTCTATACACGAAGAAGAACACACAGTCAAGGTTAGTTCAAGTTGCATACTTGATGTATTTTCAACCATGGGCAACATGAATGAAATGCGATCATTGATCCGTATGAGAAGGGGACAGGACATGGACATACATCAGTGACTGTAGCGAAATCCTCTGGTTAGCAACATGAACTGACTGGACCCGTAAGATAACTTGAAGCTGTGCGCTGCGTGCTGCTGCAATGAAGGCTGTGTGGGCTCCATGGTTCACTCACATGCGACAAGGTTATAATCTCTCTCCTTCAGGGCCTTGTTGAACTCTTCGGCGTTGACATGCTCATAAGCAGACCAGGGCTCGACTTCGGGTTGGGGCTCGGCGCCCTCAGGACGAAGGTTAGGCTTAGGGACGCCGGTAGGTGCTGGTATTTCCGTCTCGGACGCCGCGGCCAGAGGCGCAAGCAGCAAGCTTGCCCAGCAGAGCTTGAGGACGTTGGGTGCCACCATTGTGTTTGGGTTGGTTTTTCCTTCTTTCCTTCTTCCTTTCTTTCTTTGGTCCTGCTCCGTGATCCTCCCTTGTCGTATTCGTGGAAACCCTCAATTCGATGCGCGACAAGCTATGAAGGTTCGAAAGGTTGAGCGGAAGAGTAAAAAGTTGAGGTCTGGTGAGAGCGGACCCGAGTCTGCGACGTGCTGCTGCGGCGGAGAGGGAGGAGGAATAGAATCAACGGAGAGATAAGATATGATACAGGTGTCCTCCTGAAGCTGTAGCTCCAAGAAAGCAAGCTACTTCGTAGAAATCCCTTGATGCTATCGTGTCCTTTTCTCCTTCAAGAGGATGAGCCGCATGACACGAGTTCTGCCGTTCACCCCGAAGCGCCCACCCTCGGGAAAACGGGACGCGCCCAAGGCAATATCTAATGCGAAAAGGAACATGAAAGCTCTGGAAAAATTGGCCCAGCTTACCTGGAGCTCCCCCTCCATCCTCCATCCCCCTCATGCCGCTTTACCGGAAACGATCAACGGAGCAGAAAGGGGAATTCCGGTTGCAGATCTGGGGTTAGCCTGGCTGCGAGGTCGTGGGTCCGGCCCTTTCCAGACAAGGGGTCCGTCCGTTCAGCCTCTACATATTCGGGTTCCCCGGTTTGAGCAGTGGGGTGATTTGTCCGTAGAGTCCATGGCCCCATGGTGGCACCATCTCGGCGTTTTCCCCCTTTCCATGCGCCGCATTGCTGCGGTTTCGAAAGATGGGTTCTTGTTGTTCCTGTGCGGAGTAGGTGGAAGCAGAGGAAGAAAACGAACTTGAAGAAACAAAGACAGGGAGAGGAGAGCCGACACGGCAGACGATTTCGGGTCTAGCTTCGTCTTGGCCCTCTTGGGGCAACTCCAGTTTATCCTGGAGCCCCTGGCCCCCTGGCCTGCCCCCCTGCCCCCTGGATAAATTATCCCCGTAGTCGTAGCCCGCATGTGGCCAAAGGATTCAAACCTCTGATTCGTTCCAGACCGGACCCTATCAGACCCCTGGTGGTGGACTGGATGGTGGGCATTGTGGCATGGGGTTCGGAGTCGAGTTCCGAATAACCTCTTTGAGAGAAGGTCTCGTCTCATGCACTTCCGTCTTGAGATAGCTTCAAGACCTTTTTCTTTCTTCCTCGGCGCACCCGGCGCATGAACCGAGCTACGTCAAAGGTGGCCTCAACCCTCGACCCTCAAGCTCAAGGTCCAGTTTATCTTATTCTTCGCCCTGTCGGTCCAGTCACTTTCCCCCTTTCTTCCATCGTCCTGCCCCTCCATCCTCCGTCGCAACACTGATTCCCTCGTCCATCTCCTCCCATTTTCTCCAAGCAGCCAAAGCTGATCCATCGAGGGCTTGGTGATCTCTCCTCTTTGGTGAACCTAAACCTTTGGTTGTTTCCTTTTTCTCGCTGATCTCTCAACTCCCTCCTCTCACCCAAGTCGCATCGCAACTATGAGGTCAACCCTCGTCGGTGCGCTGTTCGCGCTGGCTACCGTGGCCGCCAGCCAGGAAGCCGCCCAGGAGGTCTTGGAACACTACAGCCTCGAAGGCTACAAGTGCGACCACTCCGGTTACGAGATTTCGCTTCTGTCGGCAGACCCCGTCGTCATCTACATTGAGAACTTTCTCACCCCGTTTGAGCGCCAGCATATGATGAGAGTAACGTGAGTTCATCCTCCCCCCCCCTTCTTCTCTGCTTCTCTGCTTCTCCTCTCTCGTCAACGAAATTGCCCTAACAACTTGCAGCAACGGCACCTTCTACCGCTCCAACGTAGCAGGCGCAGAAGGCGACGTCGTCTCCAACGTCCGCACCTCCTCCTCCACCACCGCCCCCTCCGACGAGGTGGCCCGCTGCATCTCCGAGCGCGCCCGCCACTTCCAGGGCCTCGACATGCCCTCCACCAACATCGAGCCCATCCAGCTGGTCCGCTACAACCCGGGCGAGCAGTACCAGTTCCACGTCGACTGGTTCAACAAGGAGGCCACCAAGCCCGGCGGCCACGCCGACGTCGGCCGCGGCGGCAACCGCGTCTCCAGCTTCTTCGCCTACGTCTCCGTCAGCGACGACATTGTCGGCGGCGGCACCGCCTTCCCCAAGCTCAAGCCCCCTCCAGGCAACGGCTGGTGCAAGTTCATCGAGTGCGACAACGACTACGACAGTGGCGTCACTTTCCGCGCCGTGGAGGGCAATGCTGTCTACTGGTCGAACCTGAGGCAGGATCCCGCTGGGATGAGGGTGGGTGATGTGAGGGTTCTGCATGCTGGCTTGCCTGTCATCAAGGGACAGAAGGTTGGCATGAACATTTGGACCAAGGAGGCCACCTTCAACTAAGCGGGCGTGGGCGTCTGTATGTGCATGACGATATGCGTAACGGTAGTAGTGTCAATTGCATGGTTAGCAGAAGGGGTCTGGTGGCTTGGATGTTTGAGTTCCAAGCTGAGGACGCGAGGTCTTGTGTCTTGTTGATGATAATCGCTACCATGAAGCCGAGGTCCGGCGTCTTGTCTTTTGGGAGTTTGATGTGCCAGGGTTTTTTTCTTCTTTCCTCAAAATATGATGCGTCTACATGTCAGAATGCTTCGCTTTCGTGCCTTTCTTAGGTCGTTCATGTTCGCTGTCCACATTTCGTTGCGAAAGAAATGAGAGTGAGAGGCAATGAGAAGCTGAGGAGCCGAGGCTCATCCATCACCCAGCTTCACTCCCCCCCCCCCTTTCTGCCTCTTCTCCCTAAAGAACCCGCTCAAAGCTCCCATCAACTGCGGCAGCCCCCCCTCTTCACTCTTCTCCCTCATCGCCCCGCGAATCCACCCCGGCAGCTTCCCCCGGATCCTCTCCGTCCCGTACCGTCGGTCGCAGAGCACAATGGCCGCATAGTCCCCGCGATGCCGGATAGCCCGCCCGATGCTCTGGTTCACCGCCCTCATGCACGCGTTCTCGTAAAACTCCCGGGCCGCCTGTTTCGCCGCTGTCACCGCTTCATCTCTCTTCGTCGGTCCTCCCTCGCGTGCAGGGTCCGTCAGACGCCCCAGCGTCGTGGCCTCGACGTACTCCGTCTTCGCCTTCCACTCGGGCGACTGCATGTTCGGGTACGGAAGCCCGACGATGACGACGGCGCGGCCGAGACGGTCCGAAAAGTTGATGCCCTCGCTCATCTTGCCGCCTACCACGCTGAGCAGTAAAGCGCCCCGCGCAGTTGAACTTGTCGACGACGTCGTGGCTGCTCCGCCGAGAATGGCAGCGCTATACGCCTCGAGAACCTCGTCGCTCGATCCCCCCTTCGCCTCCCGAAAGACGGCCTTGCGCTCCTGCATCCGCTCCCAAACCGACTTGGTCTCCCCTGGTTGTCTCGCCTCCCACGTCGCGATGACCTGGTCCAAATACCCGTAGCTAGGGAAGAACACGACAACGCCATCCGGAACGACCGCGCACATGTTCGAGATGGCCACGCCGAGCTGGTTCACCATGGTCTTGTCGCCTCTCCGCTGAAAACTAAACTCGAACGTCGACGTCGCATCCCCCGCCCGTGCGGCAGCCAGCGTCCAGACGCAGAGATTCGAGGGGGGGATGACGTGGCCGCAGCTCAGCGTGGTGATTTTGTCGCCCGCCAGGTAGGGGAAAAGGTGGTCTTTGTAGTCTCCGAACGGTGACATGGTGCCACCGGCGAGTATGACCGCACGGGCAGTGGTGGCGACGGATGAGAAAGCATGAGTTGGGGAGAGAAGTAGGTAGGAGAGTTGGATGTCGGGTGTCGGTCCTTGGAGTTTCTGGTAGAAGATGCGGCCTTCTGAGCTGAGGTTGGTCAGGGATACGAGAAACGAGTGAAGCGTGTGGAGGACCGGTGTCGATGACTTTGGTGCTCTTTTCCCTTTGCTCGGGTCCTTTTCTTCCTCGATGTGAGCCGCGTAGCTTTCGATCTTGTAGGCGAGCTTGGATGCTTGGATATACTGGATCAGCTTGAACAGGTTGATTTGGTCTATGCCTTTCGAGCGAAGAAGCTCCCTCGAATCGACGATGCCTTGGTCGTTCTGTGCGATGCCAGCGAGTAAGTAAAAGAAATCCTTGAGAATAGACCCTCCATGTCGTCAGATTGTGCAATGCAGCATACCTTGAGCTTCAGCGCACCGTCCATCCACTCACTGAGCCCCTCCACGACCCTGCCTATTTGGCCGACAAACACCCGGTTCTCGCCCTTGAGCTTCTTGCCAAACCTCTTGACGTAAACGCCCAGCATTTGCCGGGCTCTCTTCAACTCACCGAGACGGATTTGCGATGCGTACGCGTTGGCCACTGCGTCCATGATATTGTGCGCCTCGTCGATGATGACGATATTTCCCTCCAGCTTGATACCCAGCGCATCCCTAGCGGTTTTCTGGAGAAGCAACGGGTACGGGAGCGAGATGATCTCTGTGCCTGCAATGGCCGCCCGCGACGCGTAATACGGGCACACTCCCAGGGTCTTCCCCAGGTGATACAGATCCTCAATGTCCGGTACCGTGGCGTGGGCCGTGTCGCGGAACTGATGGGTCTGGCTCAACTTGTCCTCCTTTGGGATGTAAGGGCACTTCTGCTTGGACTTGGCCTGCTGCAGCTCAGAACAACGGTCGTTGATCGCAGCTTGGGACCCAAGGCGGGCCACGGAGGGGTTGATGCACAGCTTTTGCCGCGAGGACAGCGGCAGATGCTTGACCTGTTCTTGGGCGCGTTCCGTCTTCTTCTCGTCTTGTGGACTGAGAGAGGACGGGAGAGAGGAGGGGAAGACGGGACGACGGAGCTCAGACACGAATTGAGACAGTTGGGAATGGGTTCTCGAGGCATAAAAGATCTATTGAAAGGGGACATTGTTACCAACAGGGACATGGCATCAAGAGGGCCGTGATTCTTGGGGTGTGAAAGACTGCGCACCTTGACGCCATCTTCGACCATGACATCTTCATCGTCCTGCTTGGTGCTCGAGTGACCGAGTCCGAAGAGACTCAATGTGTCTCTTGTTTCCTTGCTGAGACCGGCGAATACGTCGCCATCGCCATGGCCAGCTTTCGACTCGGCCGACTCGTGATCGACGTCGTCCAGAAGCCACTCGGTATCTGTATCTTCATCGGAAGCCCGCGCTTTGCTGGTCGATGACTTCTCGCGGCCGTCATCTACGCGGCGCCGCTTGGCACTGCGCACGGCATCAGCCTTCTCCTTCAACCGGATCCTTTCCAGCCGTTGCTCCCGCTCTTCCCATGTCCTGGACAAGTCGTCCCGCTTCCGGCGGAGCATCTGCTCGACGATCCAATCAGGCTCATCCTTGATATCGTCGCCCACTGTCTGAAGGGACACCTCGTACTGCTTGGACTTGTGGTTTCTGAGCCACGTGAGTGCTGCGCAGATGAGGGAAAGCGACTTGCCCTGTGTTGGTGTGAGACGTGGTAAAACCCAAGGAGTCAGAGGCTGAACAAGGACTCACTGTTCCCGTGGGACTTTCTAGAATACCAATCTGTCCTTGGCCAGTTTCAAGGACGTTATATGCCGTCGTCATGAACTGAGTCTGGACATCGTAGGGCGTGTATGGATGATGGAAGTCAATGGCATTGCTCGAGGTTGTGTCCATGTCCATTTCATGTGTAAGAAGAGAAGTCGAACATGGAAGAAGAATCCAACAGAGGTGGGTATTGACTATCAGGAATAGACTGATGAGGGATGAGAGTGTCTCGGTGAGGTGAATCCTTCGCAGTGCGTGCAGCGAGATGGAGAAAATGTTCCTTCCCCTGTCTCTTCACCGACACGGAGATGTACTTCGTACATGTACCTTCTGAGTGTCTTTGTCCGGTGGCCCAAGCTCCCGTTTGAGATGGTATACAAAGCTACATCTGACCAAGTTCGGAAGCAGTCATGTGACACCCGAACACAAAAGTATTACGTAAGCCCTTAGGGCAGACAGCCCTTGGTCCGCTTAACAATTTCTGGGATATTTTCGGCCCCACAATTCCAGCCCCGATGGTCCACTCACCCGCCCACGCCAACCCGCAGCCAGCACTCACACTCACAAAGCGAGAAATTTCTCTGCCCGACTCCCAAAAACACCATCGAGACGACCTCGTCACTCACCACAGCAGTGCGACTCACCACACCACCGTCGCCATGCCTACCCGCCTCTCGAAGACCCGCAAGCAGTACGTTGCCCCGAGCTTCCTTTTACTTTTGGCCATGATTTGAACCCGAATTGGACTGGGGTGGGGCCGCGCAGCCCTGGAGGGGACGGTCAGATGTATGGGCAAGAGTTGGAGAGACAATGGGAGGACGAATGGACGCCAAATTTTCAACACAGCGCGTCGGAGATTGTTGGGATATGGGAAGCAGCGGAATTGGAGAACAAGCAAAAGACAGTCTGAGCTGACATTTGCGTCTCAGTCGCGGCCATGTGTCCGCCGGTAATGGCCGTGTCGGCAAGCACCGCAAGCACCCCGGTGGTCGTGGTATGGCCGGTGGTCAGCACCACCACCGCACCAACCTCGACAAGTACCATCCTGGTATGTTTCAACCCCCCTGGAGTCGTCCCTCTGTTGGGGGAGAGGTGTGTCGTGGCTAATATCGTGCAGGTTACTTCGGTAAGGTCGGCATGCGGTACTTCCACAAGCAGCCAAAGTATGTGAACCCCGACAGTCTCCCCTGAACCTGCCGTGGTCGCACTTTTCATCTGTCGACTCGAATTCGAGACCGAATGTGCTCCTGGGCCCGAAGACTCGCCGTTCGAATTTCACCTGACGAAACGGATGTGCGGGTCCCTTTCAACTAGGTGGAGCTGAGGAGGGTGGAAAGAGACGCCAGAGTCTTCGATCAAGAACATACGCGACGGCCACGTACGGCAGAACAACAAACGTTATGGATCCTTTCGGCCGCCTGGCCTTGGGGTCGACTCTAGGCGCCATCGATCCCCACCATGCGACGACAACTGCACAGAGCACATTGGGTCCGACCGAGCCAGATGAAAAATGCGACCGGACTAGTATTCCATGGACAAAAAAAACGCTAACTGCCAAATAGCCACTTCTGGAAGCCCGTGGTGAACCTGGACAAGCTCTGGACCCTCGTCCCCGCTGAGGAGCGCGAGGCCTACATCTCCGGCGAGAAGAAGGACACCGTTCCCGTCATCGACCTCCTCCCCCTCGGCTACTCCAAGCTTCTCGGAAAGGGCCGCCTCCCTGAAATTCCTATCGTCGTCAAGGCCCGGTGGGTCAGCAAGTTGGTGCGTATTTGTTGTCGTTCTCTCACCTCAGCTTCACAATGCTAACCGTCTATACAGGCAGAGAAGAAGATCACCGAGGCCGGTGGCGTTGTTCAACTGGTGGCGTAAAGGGGGGATAGAACGAAGGAAAGGAAAATGGGAAGCATGGGGAAGATTAAACCCGGCACCGGGGCGATGATGTGAATGCAACGACGAGCATGCCGCGTTTCTGTTTACCGCGGCGGGGGGGCGGACCGCCTTTATTTGTCACTTCAAGCCGGTTGGGACAGGACAGGGAAACGGGCCAAATGGGAAATGGCTTCTCTCGCATTGCATGAAGAACTTTGACCTTCCATGGAGTTAGACCGAAATGAAAAAGGGTTGATTTCTCCATGTTGTCGTTGCCACGACGCTGTACGTTGGACGTTGTACGTTGTACGTCTCTTTGCATGACCGGCTTGGACATGGACACGGGGTAATTCTACATGGGCTTGTCCGGGGTCACGATCATCATTTATGGTATCATACATAATTATGATATTATACATAATCGAGTCCGTCATCATGACTTGTCGGTCGTCGCGATCCCCCCAGAGACAAATGCTACTCCAACTCCATATCGCTGTGCCATGTCACGACATGTCATGTATACTGTTAAAAGCGTAAGCAAGGATCGGCGGCCTTATGCAACCAGATCCATCTCATCGTCATCCCCATCGCCGGTCAAGTCGACCGCATCCCTCTCCGACTCCGGTTCGCGCAAGAAAGGATGCTTCAGCGCCTCGCGTGCACTGATCCGCTTGGACGGGTCGAGGTCCAAACACCGTTCCAGAAACCCTACGGCAACCTTCTCCTCCTCGGTCAGGGGCTTCCCCTCGGGGTTCCCATCCTCGGAGCTGCCAGGCGTGCGGCAGGTCGACCACAAGATGATCTTGTCGAGGGAGAACCCCGCAGTGCCGATGGTAGGGATGCTCGTCTCGAACATGCACCCGTGGAGGAGGCCGGCGACGCGCATGCGCCTGTACCCAAAAATGGTAGCAATCTCCACCATGGCCTCGACGTCGTCGGCGGAATTGAAAAACGGAAAGCGCTTGCTCAGGATGGTGAGGAGGATGACGCCGGCGCTCCAGATGTCGATCTTGGTGGTCTGCTCGGTGCACTTGAACAGCACCTCGGGGGCGCGGAAGCCGCGCGTGCCGGCGCGGTTGGCGCGGCGGGACGGTCGGGTGTCGTTCTTGGGGTAGCCCGCTTGCGAGCCGTTGAGGGCGGCGGCGCTGTTGTGGACGCGCAGCTTGCGCACCTCGCGCGGCTCGTGGCAGAGGCAGGGTTTCGCGTCGGAGCCTTCGCGCTCGGCGAGCCCAAAGTCGACGAGCACGCCGCGGCGCGTGGCCGGGTCGTAGAGGAAGTTGGTGGGCTTGATGTCGCGGTGGAGGATGTGGTGGTCGTGCACGAAGCCGAGGGCCGTAAAGAGGGAGCGCAGGTAGATGGCGATGTCCGGGACCTTCATCTGGCGGAAGTAGTCGCGGAAGTCCTCGTGGCGGAAGTAGGGCAGAATGGCGACGACCTGGTCGGTGTGGCGGAAGGCGGTGATGAGGGGGCAGACGGAGGGGCAGTTGCGGAGGTCGTGGAGCAGTTCGAGCTCGTTCAGGATGCGCAGGGGAGAGGAGGTGACGTAGATTTTCTTGATGGCGACGAACCTGGGCCGGCGTCGTTGGGGCTCGCGGGAGACGGCCCTGCTGTTCGTGTGGTTTGCACCGTGGAGGCGTCGTAATGGCGGAGGCGTCCACTTGCCGACCTGGTTTTCCTTCTCATCGAGATCCCAGAGGTTATCATATTGGTCGTAAAGGAGGTCTTCGGCCTTGTAAACAGTGGAGAATGTGCCTGTCAAAGTTGTCAAAGTAAGCATACGCCTCCCTGAGGCTGGGGTGGCTGGGGTGATGATCATGGACTTTACCTTCACCAATACGTTTAATCAGACGATACTTCTGTCGGAAGCCGGGGAAACTATCTTGAAGACGTTCCATCTCATTCTGGACTCCTTCGTCGACGGTTTCCCCGTCGTCTGAGCTGTAGGACGAAGTTTCGTCTGCTGCCTCGTCTTCGTCTTCGTCTTCTTCTTCCTCGCCCTCCACCTCCACCCCCTCCTGTTCTTCCGCTTCTGTTGGGTGTTCCGACTCTGCCATCATCTCGGTGTCTTCAGTCCGAGGCACATCCTCGTGTATCTCAAAGGATTCGACGCCTCGTCGCCGTACCGAGGTCATGACGCCAGTCTCGGCCCGAGGCCCCCCCGCTGTCTAAAACGAAAGAGAACGGGGCACAACGGCGCAAGGGCGTCGAGGAAGGGCGTGGTTCGTGAGAAGACAGGTAGTCAGTGGTCGACGTTCCACAAGCCTCTGGATTGTACGTGACCAGGAAGTGATGCAGGGAAGAAAGAATGAGACAGGCAGTACGGAGGGAGTATAGTCGAGATGGATGGAATGTGTTGTGTTTCTCAGGGTTCCCGAGTTGCGGTTTGTTCGATGTTGGTGTCTTTGTCAGCAGACGGTTGCTTGGTTTCCCCTTGTGAAGACTTCGGAGGGGTTCAATTGATTCTGCAAGTCCACTTTTTCTTTGCTTTTCTGCGCTGCAAGGTACCTAGTACATTATCCGGGTAAAGTAAGAGGAGGGGCTCGGGAAGTAACTCTTGGTAGCAGCGACTTTTGTGAAGTATGGGGTACCATGGCCATGTGGAGACCTGGAAGTGACGCGGGGGAGCCTCCCAGACGCGTCTTCCAAAACGTTTGATTCGTTGCAAAGGAAAGAAAACAAAAACATTGGTTGCCAGGCACAGCCACCTGCACGTGGCCGGTATCAGCCACCAAGGTACGTACCGTAATCACCGCCTGGATGAAACCAAAACAACAACAAATGCCCACTGCAGCTCCCACGCCCCTCCACCCCGCCGACCCCTTTGCATATTTCCCAAGTCGCACCATCGAGCGGGAATTCTCTCTCTAGTTACTTCATACTGACTTTAATAGCTACCTTACACACCTACGCATCCGTTGTACTTTTCTTCTTCCCTCTTCTGCAAGAGACTGGGGCCGACTGGGCTGGTCTGACGCCTACATACCCATACCTTACTTACCCACACTCCTGCGACCATCCGGGCCTCGCTTCTCCCTCCCTCTGCTTCTCCCCTCTCCCGGGGCTGCCCGTTGCAACGACCATGGCTATGGAGTCGATCAACTTCGACATCAACGAAGCGTTAAAGCACTACATGAGTGACCCGTCCACCATCCCCACGCCCGAGGCCGACAGTGCCCTATTCGATTGCGAAAACGAGCCCGAGGCCCTCACTAACCATGTCGTCGACCCGGTCCTCGACCGCATCGTCGATGCCGTCGCCGACAACCCCGAGGCCATTACGCGCCCTTCTGCCATGGACTCTCTGCAGTTCCTATTAAAGTGCGCCCCCATTTCCCCGGTGCCCCTAACCTCGTCACTATCACTGTCATCATCACTATCACCATCACCGTCATCAACATCCTCAACACTTTCTTCCCTTGCTCCCCTCACCACGCACCCACACACACACACAGACACACCCAACTCTTCCGCCTCCTCCGTCCGTCGTCGCACCAGCCAGCCTCGTGACCAGCTTTCTGAACGTTGCAAACCTTCCAGGCACGCTTCCTACCTCCCCACCCATGCGCTCAGCAAACTCTTCGACCTCGTCATGTCCGGCCTCTCCGCCGAGGCCGACGCCATCAACGCCGACCTAGAGACGCCCGACGACCACGAGACCCTCTCTCACCACAAGCAGCTCCTCGAGATCTACGGCTTCCTGCTACAATGGACCATCTCCGCCGTCGAAACCAAAGCCGCCGAGAAGTCTTCCGCCCAGCCCGTGACCCGCGGTCGGGGAAAGCCGAAGAAGAATGCCCCCAAGGGCCAGGAGGCCACCTGGGATTCCTCCGCTCAGCTCCAGTCCGCCCTCGATATCATGGTCAAGGTTCTCAGGATCAAGCTTTCCAAGATTTTCCTCACCACCTCGGAGCGGGACACCTTCATCGGCCTGTTGACGCGTCCTGTTTATATGGTCTTGGAGAGCGAACAGAGAGTGAAGAATACAACGATTCGCATGTATGCTTTTAAGGTGCTCTGCACTGCCGTCAAGCATCACGGGCACGGATATGGTAGGTGCAGGTGCAGGTGCAGGTGCAGGTGCTGCAGTATTTGGTTGTCGACTTGGCAAGCTTTTGGTGGCATGAATGAACATGGAGGGGGTAACGCTGACGGCTTGATTCTCTTGCAGCCGCGCAAATCAACATTGTCCAGAACCTGACCTACTTCGAGCATCTATCGGAACCCATGGCCGAGTTCTTGCACATCCTTGCCGATAATTACGATTACCCCCAGCTTGCCGACGAGATTCTGCGCGAGCTCAGTAACAAGGAGTTCAACAGTAACGACACCAAGGGGCCCAAGTCGGTGTCCCAGTTTGTCGTCAAGCTCTCCGAGCTGGCGCCTCGGCTGGTCATCAAGCAGATGACCATGCTGGCCAAGCAGCTCGATAGCGAGGTTCGTAGAGAAAGCACTCTGCCTCCCCAGCCCCTTTTGGGGGGTTTTTTACTTCTTTTTTTTTTCTTCCTCTTTCTAACCAGACCCCAAGTCGTACACTCTCCGCTGCGCCCTCATCGAAGTTTGCGGCAACATGGTCGTATACCTCAGCAAGCAAGAAGAACGGGGAGAGAACCACAAGTCCCAACTGAATGCCTTCTTCGACGTCCTGGAAGAGCGCTTCCTCGACATCAACCCCTACAGCCGTTGCAGGACGATTCAGGTCTACATCAAGATGTGCGAACTGGAACAAAAGTTCCCCAAGCGGAGGCAAAGGGCTGCCGAACTGGCCTGCCGCAGCCTCGAGGACAAGAGCAGCAACGTGCGACGCAACGCCATCAAGCTGCTCGCCACCCTCATCAAGACGCATCCCTTCACCGTGATGCACGGCGCACAGCTTTCGCGCAAGGACTGGCAAGCCCGGCTAGACAAGGTGGACGAGGAGCTCAACTCGCTTAAACCACCGGCCGGCGCGCCGGACCTGGAAGGCAACGCGAACAACACGGTAGACAGTGCGCTCCTGGATGACCCTACCCAGATGCCCGAGTCGCCGCAAAAGCAGCAGCAGCCGATGACGGAAGAACAAAAGATCGAGGCCGTCCGAAGGGCGCAGGAAGAGGCGGCCACCTCGGAAGCCATCGAGAAACTCACCTTAACGAAGAGGTATTACAGCGAAGCGCTCCGCTTCATCGACGTACTCCACGAAGCCACCGGCATCATCTGCCAGCTCCTCGGCTCCAAGAACAAGAGCGAGGTGATCGAAGCCATGGACTTCTTCGAGGTCGGGGACGCCTACAACATTGAGCAGAACAAGGTGGGCATCCGGCGGATGCTGCGGCTCATCTGGACCAAGGGGAACAGCGACGAAGGCAGGGGCGTGCAGACGCACCTCATCGACACGTATCGGCGGCTGTTCTTCGAGGCGCCCGACTCGTTCAGCCAGAACGACGCGGCCAACTACGTTGCGCGGAACATGATCAGCTTGACGTTCGGGGCCACACCAGCCGAGCTCACGTCGCTGGAGCAGCTCCTGAGCACGATGATGAAGGCGGGGATGATCCCAGAGCTCGTGGTCACCAAGCTGTGGCAGGTGTACGGCGTGCAGAAGCGGGAGATCTCGCCCAAGCAGCGACGCGGCGCCATCATCGTGCTGGGCATGCTGGCGACGGCGAGCCCGGAGATCGTGGTGGGCGAGATGGAGACGATGCTTCGCACGGGCCTCGGGGCGCACGGGCGGAGCGACCTCCAGCTGGCCAAGTACACGTGCATCGCGCTCCAGCGGATCAATCCCACGAGCCGGCAGGCCAAGGACTCGGGCGTCAAGTTCTCGCGGCTGCCGAACGACCACGCCGTGCTGGCTAAGCTGGCCGCCATTACCGAGGTGCCGTCGGAGAGCAAGGAGTGGTACGGCGTCGCGGAGCAGGCGATCAATGCGATTTATTCCATCTCCAAGCACCCGGATATTCTCTGCTCGGAAATCATCCGGAGGAGGGCGAGGCGCGTCTTTGCGCCGCAGTCGAGACCGGTCTCACGGGACGAGACGCAGACGATGACACAACAGGTAGCAGCAGCAGCAGCAGCAGCACCAGGGGGGGCTGACGGGGATGGTAGTCAGACGACGTTGGCTGGGCAGCCGGCCCGCAAGCGCGACGCGGCGGTCAACCTTTCCCAGCTCCTGTTCATCGTGGGACATGTGGCCATCAAGCAGATTGTGCACCTCGAACTCTGCGAGCTCGATTTCAAGCGGCGCAAGCAGGACCTGGAGAAGGATAAGATGGCCAGGTCCGGGTCCGGGTCCGGGTCCGGGTCCGGGTCGGCGGGGCAGCAGAGGTCCAAGGAGGAAGACGAGAAACAAGTGCCCGAGAGCGACGACCTAGACCTGATCGGCGGCACGACGGAAGACGACTTTACCGACGCCATGGCGGACATTCGGGAGCGGGAACTCCTGTACGGATCCGACTCCCTCCTGGCGCACTTCGGGCCCCTGGTGTCGGAGATCTGCGCCAACAACACGACGTACGCCGACAAGGGCCTGCAGGCGGCGGCGACTCTCTGCCTGGCGAAGCTGATGTGCGTGAGCTCGGAGTACTGCGAGGCCAACCTCCCGCTGCTCATCACGATCATGGAGCGGTCGCCGGACCCGACGGTGCGGTCCAACGCGGTGATCGCGCTGGGCGACATGGCGGTGTGCTTCAACCACCTGATCGACGAGAACACGGACTTTTTGTACCGGCGGCTGGCGGACGGCGACGCGTCGGTGAAGCGCACGTGCCTCATGACGCTGACGTTCTTGATTCTCGCGGGCCAGGTCAAGGTCAAGGGCCAGCTGGGGGAGATGGCGAAGTGCATGGAGGATCCGGACCGGCGGATCGCGGACCTGGCGCGGATGTTCTTCACGGAGCTCAGCACCAAGGACAACGCGGTGTACAACCACTTTGTCGACATGTTTGGGTTGTTGTCGGCGGAGCGGTCGCTGGGCGAGGAGAGTTTCCGGCGGATTGTCAAGTTTTTGCTTGGGTTCGTGGAGAAGGACCGGCATGCGAGGCAGTTGGCGGATAAGCTGGCGGCGAGGCTGGGGCGGTGCGAGACGGAGAGGCAGTGGAATGATGTGGCGTTTGCGCTGGGGTTGTTGCCGCATAAGAATGAGGAGATTGCGAAGGTTGTGGCGGAGGGGTTTAGGGTTGTGCAGGCTTCTGCGTGAGCAGCTGGAGGGAATGACGGAATGACATTATGCTACATCGTATTCATACTCATACAGAGTCTGGGTAGTGAAGAAATTGGACAGGTGGGAGAATAAGAAGCAGCACAGCATATTCACATTCGCTTCGTGAAGTCTTTTATCTCTACAACACTCCAGACGCGGTACTAGCAGCTACCGGGTGGGAAGGAGGTAGAAACAGAAAAACGAGAATAAATCAAAAAAAAAAAAAAAAGGAAAGAATGAAGCCATTGCGGGCAACATGAATAGGGACCGAGGGCATGGGGAATAGAGCGATATACGGAGTAGAGATGGCTATATCCACTGTGCTCTCGAGGGAAGCGAGATGGTTCGATCTACTAACATAGTCTTAGATAGAAACGACCAAAATAAATCATAGGACAATAAATTGGAATAGAAAAAACGTTTGGAATATTCGCTTTGATTCTTAAGGAGAGAGAATTTGGTTCTTGGTTCTTTGATGACCCGAGCACAACCCGAACCACGAGGCCGAATACGATGAGTGAAGGGAACCGGAAGTTTTGGAATACCAACTGGAAGTCTGCCCATTCTTCTCTTTTGTACTGGATACAGCAAATAATAAGCTTGCATCTCGTCGCCTTCAGTATTGAGTACCATACCGTCTACTTCGTAGGCACCCGTTGGTCCTGTTTCGTCATCCCACTAAGCTTAAGTACCTTACCAACCAACGAAGTACAAAGTACGACGGGATTGGTGTAGAGGGAACGAAATTTGTATGTTGCCAGACGCTGACAGACAGTTGACAGGCGTTGTCAGCCGGGACCCCGCAGTTGGACACAAAGGGGAGGACGGGTAAGTACAAATAGGACGTGGCATCCCACCTCTTTTTATTATGCCTTTCCCGCCTTTTTGGGTTGGTTGTTCTTACCAGGTATTTTCCCGGCCGACGACATTGTACGACCGACATACGGCAGACCGAAGCTCCCAAAAAAGGATCCCCCCACGTTACTTCATCTCTCGCTCTCACCGTACACTACCTTCGCCTTACCTTCACCTCACCCCTACCTCCACCTCTACATCCATTCCACCTGGTCCCTTGGCGCATAACCCAACACAAAGGCTCCGGAAAAAGAGAGGGCAAAAGAAGATACACTAGCCTGTCAGCTATTTGGGTCTTCTTGTCTGCATTTCGACAAAATTACCGAGCCGGATTGCTATATACGGATACTATTCACCCTTACATATCGAACATTTCCCGTCCTTTGAGAGTACCTACCTTACCTTAGAGTCCGGAGTACCGAGTACATACAGTACTTAAGCTACCTTACCTTAGGTACCTCCTTCCCCTCTCCACTGTCACCACTGCCCAGTCGGCTGTCGCGACCCTCGCAGCTGCTGTGGTGGCGTCACTGTGGAGTTGTCACAGTCGCATTGTGGAGCCCCATCGACGGAAATTCATAACTGCGACTTCCGAGAAACGTCCTCCACCGCTTTCCCCGTCACGATCACGATCACGATCACGATCACAATCTTTCCATCGCCGTCACAACCAACAATTTGGAAATAGCTACTAGCTTTCTCCCACTCAATTCTGTCCCACCCATCACCACATCACCCTCCAGATCTACGGATACTCCAACACCTTCGTGTCAACATCAACACACCATCTTGATCTTACTCTCTATCCGCCTCTCTCATACGCACACACGCGCGCAAAAACACCCGAATCTCGCAGATTCTCCCATTTCGGAATAGCTTCCTTCCATTTGCCACCAGCAAGCTACCGAGTGCGGAATACCGGTACAGAATACGGAGTACGGAATACGGAATACGGAATACGGAATACATCCACGCCTATCCGACCTTCCACCTACCTACCTTACCTGCCCCTTCGCATCATTGTTGCTTCTTCAAGTTGCGCTTGCTCAGAACTTCTTGAAGAAAGCACCCGTGCCCACTACGCGATTCGCGATCCTCGACATTTTGTCGCGTCTGCCACCCCGGCTCGATGCCATGGGATTGGAACCTTCACCCACACCCATTTTGAGTACCATCGGGGAAGCTCCTCCCAAGGTATGTCTTTTTTTCTTTTTCTTTCTTTTGACCGTCACCTGCTAACTACCTCTCTCTAGAATCAGTTAAAACTCGACGATTTGTAGGTCGCACAAGCAAAAGCGAAAGCAAAATACAGCGTCGCCTGCCCCCACAAGTGTCATGGGCAAGCAAATCTGCCTGGGTACGCGCTTGCGCTACCCCATCACCATCACCAAACTCCTCAAATCCCCCGGCGATCCCGTCCAGCGACAAGAAAGCATTCTGGAATACTCCTTCAAATGGATGAAAGAGGTCGGCGACCACGTCTCCGGCTCCGCCTGGCAGGAGGAGCAGACCACCGTCGCCACCTGGGACAGCCCCGTCGAGGGCACCCTCAAGGCCTGGCTCCTGCGCGAGGGCGACCCCGTCCACCGCGACCTGCCCTGCCTCGAGGTCGACGAGGCCTGCAGCCACGAGATCCAGTTCCACGGGCTCTGCGCCGTCTGCGGCAAGGACATGACCGAGGTCTCCTGGGCCTCCGACAGCCTCGACACCCACCGCGCCACCATCAACATGACCCACGACCAGACCGGCCTCATGGTCAGCAGCGGCCTCGCCACCCGCGCCGAGCACGACACCCAGCGCCGCCTCCTCCGCCAGCGCAAGCTCAGCCTCGTCGTCGACCTCGACCAGACCATCATCCACGCCTGCATCGAGCCCACCGTCGGCGAGTGGATGGAGGACCCGTCCAACCCCAACTACGACGCCGTCAAGGACGTCCGCCGCTTCCAGCTCAACGACGACGCCGCCGCCCCGCGCGGCGCCGTCACCTCGGGCTGCTGGTACTACGTCAAGATGCGCCCCGGCCTCGTCGACTTCCTCGAGGCCATCGCCGAGAGGTACGAGCTCCACGTCTACACCATGGGCACCCGCGCCTACGCCCTCAACATTGCCAAGATCGTCGACCCCCACCAGAAGCTCTTCGGCAACCGCGTCATCAGCCGCGATGAGAATGGGAGTATTCTGGCCAAGAGCCTTCAGCGCCTCTTCCCCGTCAGCACCAACATGGTCGTCATCATTGATGATCGCGCTGATGTTTGGCCCCGCAACCGTCCCAACCTCATCAAGGTCGTCCCCTATGATTTCTTCAAGGGCATCGGTGACATAAACTCGAGCTTCTTGCCTAAGCGCCGCGACCTGTTGCCGGCACCCATCGCGCCGGCGCCTGCTGCCACTAGCACTACCACTACTGCCACTACTCCCACTACTGCCACTACTGCCGCTACTACCACTACTGATGCCACCAGTAGTACCACCACTCCTACTATCAACGGGAATGCCAACACCAACTCCAACGCCACCACACCGTCTGGTGCCACGGCCCCCTCCACCACCAACAGACCGTCTGCCATCGATGACTTGATCAGCATGAGCAACGGCGACGACAAACAGCTGCAGATAGAGCAGACCAAGGAGCAGGAGCGGTCGTTGGAACATCAGATCAAGGACCGGCCGCTGCTCCACCTCCAAGAAGCCCTGGACAAAGAAAGCGAGACCACCGACTCGGAAGACGGCGAGCACCATCACCACCGCTCTCAAGTGCTTCGTGACGACGACGAAGAGCTCTTCCACCTCCAGCAACACCTGACGGAAATCCATACCGAGTTTTACAAGCTCTACGACGCCAAGCGGGCCGCCCGCCGCGATTCGCCTCCCAAGCAGGCGCCCTCGCACGAGAGGCATCGCAAACAGTCGGCCGACGACGGCGTCGACCTCTCCATGGTGCCCGACGTCGGCGAGGTGCTCGACGAGCTCAAGTCCAGGGTCCTTCAGGACACCGTCATCGTCATGTCGGGCATTGTACCCCTGGGCATCGACGTGATGCAATCCGAAATCGGTCTGCAGGCCATGAGCTTCGGCGCCGAGATCCAGACCAGGGTCACCAACAACGTCACCCACGTCGTCGTGGCGCCCTCCCGCACGGGGACCCAGAAAGTCCGCCAGGCCTTGCGCATTCCGAGCATCAAGATTGTCAACCAAAACTGGCTCACCGACTGTCTGAGCCAGTGGAGGCACCTTGACGAGACACCCTACGTCGTTCATGTGCCGACGTCCCACGAGAGGAGACGCAACGGCGTTGCTGTCGACGGAAGGGCCGGGAGCCAGGACCAGGGCAATGACCAGTACCAGGGCAAGGCCGAGACCGAGACCGAGACCGACGCGAACCGCACCGCATCGGGAACGACTGGCGAGCCCGGCACGTTGCCGCTCACCGAACAGCACTTGTTCGACGAGGACGACGAGGACGTTGAAGGTGCGGATGAAGACGACGACGAAGACGAGGAAAATGCCAACGACGGTGACGGGGACGATGATTTCGCGCCCGATTTCAGCGCCGGGAGCCCCATTGATGACCTGAAAACGTTCGACTGGGGCGGTATTGACGACGAGATGCGCGAGTTTCTCGGCAGCGACGTCGACGACTCGGAGGATGGTGAGGGTGAGGGTGAGGGTGACGGTGACGGTGACGGCGGATCATCATCGCGCGGCACAGCCGACGAGTCGGAAGGAGGCGTCTCGGACGAAGACGGATCCCAAAAGTCCGGCCCCGGCGGGACCAAACGGAAAGCGGCCGACCACGACGGGGACGACGACGATTCGGAACGCGAAGGGAGCGTCCTCGCCAAGAGGCAACGCGTGGCTAAGGACCGCGGCGCGTCCAAGCTGAGTGGGGTGGTGCACATGCCGTCGTACGCGGGCGGCGAGTCGACCAGCAGCAGTCTCCCTACGCCGCAGGTCACGGGCGACGAAGACGAAGTGGCGGCGGCGCAGAAGAAGATTGCTGGCAGTGGCGGCAACAATAATGACGCGGCAAACGCTGAAGACGACGACAACGACCACGACGACGACGACTTTGGGGCCGATCTCGAGGCGGAACTCGAGAAGGAGCTTGAGGCGGACGCGACCGGGGGTTAGAAGCCTCCTCCTTGCGTCAACGGCAACTGTCATCCCCGGCATCATGGCCACGACGACGATGTCGACGGCGATGTGGAGACGGCCTTTGCGCAGGCGGGCGAAAGCTACTACGGTCGAGAACACGCCGACTGGGACGCCGACGCCGAACTGGTGGCGGCCCTCGAGGCCGAGCTCGAGAAGGAGCTCAACGTGAGCGAAGGCTAGAAGCCAGATTCTGTCCAGCGGATGTACCGACCTGGCACGAACGAACGCCGAGGTGACTCGGTTGAAGGAGATGAGTTTTTCTGTCTCCCACATTCTACATATGATGTCGGCGGAACCACAGGACGACGGTATATCATTTCAGGGCGACTTGCTCGCGGGCCATTCGCCACCACCACTGCTGTTCTACCCAAGAGGGAATCCATCCAACTCGCGCAACTTGTCGGTTGACTCTGAGTATGGTCCGAGGGTGTTTGTTTATTATTATTATTATTATTATTATTATTTATTTTAGTTTTGCTTTTCCTTTCTGTCTCCCATTCTACTTTGTTCTCAGTATACCCAGCTCTTTCCGAGGCGCAAAATGCGAATGGCAGAGGCAGCAGAGGCGAACAGGGAAAGGTCAAGGTCAAGGTACAGGTCATGGTCAAGGCAAGGTCAAGGCAAGGTCAAGGCAAAGGCACGACATGGACATGGCAAGGCAAGGCAAGGCAGGCATTGGTGTTGTGTTGCATGGCGTGGGCGTTTTGACGGAAATGTCTTTTTCTCCTACTTCTCTGCTGAAGGAACAAAAGGGCTTTGTGGGGTTTGGGGGTTCTTATTGCTACCGCTAGTATTGCTTTTTTCCTCTTCTTCGTTTCTTTATTATCTGCGCTGCACGGAGGACGGGCGCTTTGGTGGGTGATTTGTGCTTCAAGGCTTTGGCGCAGAGCATATTGAGTAGAGATATATGTTAATGGGTAGGCAATTGAATGCAGATGCTGGGGTTCAGGGTTTTGCGCGCTTCAAATATATATTTTGGGTGGATGTCGCCGTTATGATACGCAGTTACCATAAAGCAGAGGAAGCAATATAATACGTTGTCGTGAATGTATGCTTAAAGTGTTCTGAGCATCGCTATGGGCATCATCATTAACGGATATCTTCTTATTAACATTAATATAACTGTATACAATGTCATATATACTAGAGTCTTATCAGAGGGTCTTTGTCTGTCATCCGTCACCACCAGAGTGCGAGATGTCTGGTTTCAGGAGCTCGGTGAGGCCGGTGAAGCAGGTGAGCCGGTGAGTAACAACGCGGGCCGGATGAGTAACCGAGTCAGGCCAATGAAAACAGTCCAATTGGACTGACCAATTCAACGAAAGGTCGTCTTATGTAATCGTGCCATATTCTTCCGAGGCTGGAAGTGGAATCAAGAATCAATCAATCACCGCATTCGAAATTGACCACCGTCCTCGACAACGACCTCACCCGACCTCAAGTCACCTAACCACGACCCCTCGCGTGGTTGAATTCGAACTTCGAAAAAGGCGAGTTTTACGACCTGCGCCCTGTCGCCTAGCTCACGAATTGAGCGAGCGAGCGAGCGATCGAGACGAAGCGAATCGAATCGAGTCGAAAGACGATAGCCGAACTGCCAGGGCTTCGACGACCCGTTGCCATCGTGACGGGTTCGGGAGATATTCACCAGAGATACACGGAGTGATTTAGAAGAGACGCGCATTCACAACCATGCCTCAGGATCTGCCGCCCGTAGGAGGCTATCAGGCCGTCCAGTACAAGGTGGGTTGCTTGGCTTTTGTTTCCGCTGTTGTCGGGGTTTGGTCGGATCGAATGGGGTTTCATGCCAATTGCACATGTCATGGCGACGGAAAGAGCAGAAGGGTGTGGGGGGTGATGCGAGAATGGGTGGATTGGTGGACGGATGGAAAGAAATAACCGAGTGGATGGTTCGAACGTGGACCATCCATGATCCGACATTCCCCCGTTGATCACCACGAAACAAGGACGAGCATGACGTTCTAGATTTTCAGTGATCTGTGGAGGCATGCAGACAACGCACTCACCAAGTCCACGACATGCAATCACCCATCGAGTCGAGGGCGGGTTACGGAGGGCTGGGGGAATATCCGGACGCACCAAGACGAACTTGCCACACAAAAAAGACAGACATGCTAACCACCACAAACAGCGCAACCTCCCCGCGCGCGGCTTCCGCCCCAGCATCCTCCTCCTCGGCATGGGCGCCGTCATGGGCTACGGATGGTACAAGCTCATCAAGGGTATCCGGGAAGCCAAGTACGTATCCCGTCCCTCTCCTTCCCTCTCCCCAAGTGCCGACCTTGGAGACGAACGTCAGCTAACGAACGCATCTTCCACCCCCCAGTGAGCTGGCCCGCGAGAAGATGTGGGCGCGCATCCACCTCATCCCCCTCCTCCAGGCCGAGGAGGACCGCGACCAGGTGCGTCGGTGGTACGCGGACCAGGCGCGCGAGAAGGAGCTGCTGGGCGAGAATACCCGTGTGTATCACTCTGATCGGTTTGTCCGGCCTACTTTTGCCGTGGCGCCGGAGAATACTACCAAGTAAACGGTCCTGGAGGAGAGGGAAAGAGTTGGCTGGTTGGTGGGATGTAGGATGTTGTATATATCGTGTAGACGAAGGGGAATGGGATCTTGTCCTGTCATTCTTTTCTTTTCTTTTCTTTTTATGGTAACGTGGAATATGGGCCGAGGTTTCGACAAACGACTCCATCCGAAGCAACCGACTCCGAACCCTCCCCGAGTCTTCAGTCCCAATATGGACACCGTCATGCTTCGATACCGAGTAACATCGAGTTTGACTCGCGCTTTTAACAGACCGTTCTTTCGTGATTTCAACACCTGCAACGAATGTAGCGAGCAAATTGAACATTGGTATCTTACGGTTCCCAGCAGCTATATTTTGGAGCAAAGCATTGGTCGTCCTGTAAGCATGTTGCTGCGGCAAGTCGTAAATTATCATCACCGAGGCAGTCGGTGGGAGGAACCAAACAGCATGCAACCGTCCCGCCGACTCTATCACCAATTTTCCTAGCAACTCATACCGATATAAGCCAATTACCAACACCAAACTGTCACATACGACCATACCTACTAGAAAACTCGGGATCCCGTCCGCTCTCCCTTAGATAAGCTAGTAAGGGCTGGATTAGTAGTTGGGTGGGTGACCACCAGCGAATACCCGGTGTTGTATGTCCCTTTTTTTCTGGTTATTATTTGCTATTTTCCTGGGGACTTACGGTTTATAAGAACTTCTATGGCAGAATTTTAGCACATACGACCATACCCACTGGAAAACTCGGGATCCCGTCCGCTCTCCCCTGGATAAGCCAGTGAGGGCCGGATTAGTAGTTGGGTCGGTGACGACCAGCGAATACCCGGTGTTGTATGTTTTTTGGCCACCGCCTTTTTTTATCTTTTTTTCTTCTTTTTTTTTTTTTCTTTTCTTCTCTTTCCCCTCGAGTTATAGACTGTCTTGTTCGCCCGGCAGAATATCTGTTCTGGGGTTGGAGGATACCAGGCCTCCATCTATCTACTTCGTAGACAACCCTCGAGCCATCATCGACATCGAGGGCACCGCACCTCGTCAAGTCAAGTGCAAGACTGGAAGCTGAAGCCTTCACAATCACAACACTGCATACGGGGGCAGTTTGTCGTTTTGCAAAGAAAGGGAAAGCTGGTATCGAGAGAGAGCACAGCTCATGATTACGACCCGCTACTGTGACGTGGTGACAACAAAGCGACAGACCATAGATCCTTTAGTTGCCGACCTGCTCTCGCCTCTAGCCACGTCTCCGAAGGCTTCGAGCCCGGCGTTTTACGGACAACCCCCTCTCGGGAGTACGTGGTCGGCGTACCCGGGTCGGCGACCATCTGCCAGAGGATTCGCTCCGCCGCCAGCTCGGCGTCATAACAAGGAAGCGCCTCGCGAAGATGCTCCCACCAGTCCTCCCCCGGGAAGTAGTCGTAGTGCGCCTTGGTGAACTCCCAGTACTCCGGGTACCAGCCCGCAAAGCCCCAGTCGATGAGGGCAGCGACGCGTCCGTCTCTCACGATGATGTTTCTCGGCACCAGATCCCCGTGCGTGAAACAGGTTCGGTAGGAGGCGGTAGTATGCACCTTTGCCACTTCGTCCCCGAGACACGACTCGACGTACTCCAGGGGCATACGTTGTCGTAGCAAGGAATGAAAGTCGGCATGGGTAAAGGGGCCGAGGAAACGAGAACCGATGCGGCAGTCATAGGCGGGGTTTTGCAGCGCGGACGCGACAAGATCGTCGGCGGGCGGCGGGAGCGCCCGGAGAACGGAAACATAGTCCTTGATATCTTCGAAAATGGTCTTCTTCTGCTCCGGCGTGAGGCGGCCTTCTTTCCTCCAAGCGCTATCCAGGGTCACGCCCTCCACGTACTCCATCTCGATGTATATACGGTGGTCCGAAGTAGTGTGCACTTTGTAGACCTTGGGTACCGGGATCGTTGTATGCTCGGCGATGTATTGCATGGCCTCGACTTCGGGGGGATCGCATGGTCCCTTGATGACGCGATGCCGGCTGACTCTCACCACGGAGGAATTGAAGGGCCGGTAGAGCTTTCTGCCCAGCCAAAGCCGGAACCGGAGTGGAAACAGGGTGCCGATGGATTGGCCCATCGATTCGGATGGGTTGGGAGGACCAGAAGCAAAGGAGAAAGCGAGCTTCCTTCCTGTCCGTTACATAGGTAATAGGTAATTACGTGTACCTGACACCCGAGAAACACGGCATCACCACCTACCTGTACCCTACGGTATCCGCTTCTCCGTCATTACCTAAGCCTATTAACATGGTACTCAGTATGTCCTCTCCCATCATGACTTACACGTCATCTACCTATCAGATGATTCGTCACAGCTGTCCTGCAACACAATTTATCAGCCCCAGTCTCCGGCCTCACGACCAAACATTATATATACAGGTCGGGTCGCTCATTGGCACAATCATAGGCAGACCAGTGGTCAGCTACTTGAGCAGTTTCTCATATGTCCTGTGTGACTGAGGTAAGCTGGACAGCAAAGCTTTCGAAGTCGGTGCGCAAAATAACATCCCCCATGAAGTCGCATGTACGGGGTACTTTCTGATCTTAATTCTCAATCCTATTGGTGCATCAACCCGACGAAATACTGTAAGGCCCCCACGGTCTTGTTGGTGATACCTGACGTTCGACATGCCTTTACATAAGGTACCTAAGGTAGGCAGGGGCGCTTACATACGATCAAGGATAAAAGGGCAGCTCCTCGCCCAGAAAAGGCATCATCGGAGACCGATCGTTCAGCCTGAATACCACTGATGAAGTACACACCCCTGTCTTTTGATCTGTAACCCCATCAGAAACCACATCACATCCTCTCTTGCAATGTCCTCAACCTCGCAGAAACAAATTGCCGTGGCTTTCTACCGTCGGGATCCCATCTCAACCGACCCGCACAAACGCAAAATCTACCAGCACGAGTCGTACCACTGGGGAATTCTGATCGTGCAGCAAGGCAACGTTCACGACGCCTACGAGGCGACAGACAGAAACAGGCTCGACCCCGTCACGTGGAAGCAGGAAAACCCGACCCTGGATTGGTGGTTCAAGGCCAAACAAGGCGTCAACCCGTACCGAAGTGGGAAGTATCTCGGGTGCGTCGTCGTCGGGACGGTGCCGGCCGACAAGTCGAGGGACGATGTCCAGGCGTTCCTGCACGAGGTGCCCCTGCCCAAGAGGCACCAGTATCCGCAGCAGAGCTGTGTGACGTGGGTTGGGAACGCCATACGCGCCTTGGGCGAGGCGCAGTGGATGCGCGAGTTGGACTGGGAGGAATTCGCGGACTGGGCGCTCGCATACGCCGACAAGAGACTGAAGAACTCGGAGGACACTCCAGAGGTAGTCTATTACGAAAAGTAATGGAAGCAAGAGCGAGAGAGGTGAGGAAGAGAAAAGAAGGAAAGGGAATCTTGGCCCTAACTGTTCGCGGTGGGTAACTCAGGGACCGATCTATCAAGCTCTGTATTTGGATCATCGCAGCTACCTACCTAATTGGCAGATAGTTTCTGAGGGAAAGAAGTAGATAAAGGACTAAGCGATATATAAGGTAGGTAATCCGAAGTGGCTATATACTAGGTACTTAGAGAGTATGATATATGAGAGGGTAATCTGTCTATCTGTATATTGAATATAAGCACGAAAATAAGCCCTATATATAAGATATATAGGAATTCCCTTTTAGCGTAGTGGTACATTTTTCATGCGACGGGAGTCTTGCCCCGACACCGATATCGCGTAATCACGTAATTACAACGCACCTTATAAGTTGCTTGTTTTCCACGTTGTTATTTCTTTTGATTCGACATACAAACGATGGCCCCCCGGTTCGTGGCGGTAGAGCGCTGGGACTCCCACGTTTTTATCATCTGCGATCTTTTCAATTTCGGCTACGACCACGAGTCCGCCCTACAAGGTTGATCATGCGAATGGAGTTCATCCTGTCTACCATTGTCCGCGATCACTGGTATACAAATGATAAGAGGTTGCAATGTACCCTTTTCGTTTCGCCGGTTCGGGTTCGTTGTACGAAGAACACGAGGAACCGGTCCAGCTCGACGCTGGCCCTAGATTCTATGTATCTGAACCGAAGCCCCCCCCCGTTTCCTCATGGGGGAGAGAGACCCAGTCTCATCCCCTGTTCCATCGTAACCGTAACTACAAGAGCCCTACTTCTTCTTAAGGCTGGCACTGCGAGTACCACGGGTTCAGCTCAACGCAGCTCGTACCCGACACGCAAGGCCGGGGGGCGGGCCAGTCCTGCGAATTGCACTGTCCCCAGACCTCCACGGGGCTGCCCGACGGAGGAGGCGTGGAAGGAGGCGGGTTGGTAGGAGGCGGGTTGGTAGGAGGCGGGTTGGTAGGGGGCGGGTTGGTGGGAGGAGGGGAGGGCGAGGGGACGTCGAAGACGGGGTAGTTGCCGTCGTCCTGGCGGCGGCAGCCGGAGATGTTGGTCAGCTGGGCCGGGCACTGCACGCGGCGCCAGTTGACGTCTGGGTTGTCGGCGTCCCGGAACCAGTCGTAGCGCCAGTAGCAGCCCTCCTGCAGGGAGGCGGGGAGCTCCGAGCACTGGCTGCGGCTGGTGGTGCCGCCGTAGCGGTTGCCGGGGAACTGGAAGCCGAATTGAGGCGTGCAGCCGTCGAAGAGGCCCAGACCTGAGGAGTCCCGTGTCAGTTTGGTCTGTTGGACAGGTGTAGGAAAGGGGACTGGGGTGAGGATATGGGGATATGGGGAGATTTGGACAAGGGAGAGTCATGTTTTCGTACCTCCGCCGGGCATCTGGATATCAAAGTGGTTGTGACCGAGATCACCGCCTATTGCAAAAGTCAGTCGCCTGAACGGGGGTCAAATCGTGTGAAGATGGGGGGGAACATTACCAGTGTTGGTCGACTGGACGACTAAAGTCTTGCCAGCCACAGGACCAGAGGTGAACTGCAGACTATGATTCCGCACGTAAAAGGTTAGCAATCCATTTCTCGGAGACCCAGGAAACAAAAAAGAGGTGACCAAAAAAAAAAAAGGAAAAGAAAAGAAACGAAAAGGGGGCGGGGGACCAGAAACTCACGCATAACAAGCACAGCACCACGACGCCTCGGTACCACCGCTAATAGCAGTGGCAGCGAAACCAAACGCGACATTGTCGTTAATGGCCCACGGCTGGTTGTTCGAGCACGTAAACGCAACTCCGTTGCTGTCGCAGCCGCTCCGGGCCTCGGGGCCGAGGGGGTTGTCGTTCCTGTCGCACGTGCGGGCCGGGGCGCTCACGGCGGCCTTGTCGGGCCAGGCGCACGAGGGCTTGCAGCAGTCCCAGTACCTGACAGGTCACGCATTGTCAACCAAACGAATTCCCCTGATCGCCGGGCGGCGCAAATGTGTGAAGGGCGGGGGCGCAGAAGAGGGGGAAGAGAACCAACCTGGTGGTTCGGCCGCTACCCGAGGAAGCTTGACCAGCCACGGCGCCGGCCAGGGCAAGAACGGAGAGAGTTGCGCTGCGCATGGTGAAGAGGATGTCGATCTTGGTCGATCTGCTCCTTGAACTCTCTTCAAAGGTTCGGGGGATGAAAGAATAGGAGGTGTGGGATGGCTCCTAATTGTCAAACTGCAGCACTGTCGATCAGGGAGGACGATCGAACGTCTGGACATTATATATATACAAAGGTAATGAATTATTTTAATACAGAAAAGAAAAGAGGGGGGCGGCCAGGGGTCCGTCCTGCGATCAGAAAGGGGCAAGTACGGCCATCCGTCTCCGTCGGTCCGTCCGCCATGGATTTTATTTCTTGTCTTGACAGTACCAAGAGTATGCCAGAGAGACGGGACCCATTAATAGTGGTCCGGGAGGTGGCAGATACATGAGGTATATGAGATTGGCGTGGGGAGGGAGGGAGGTGCCACATCAGGGAAACCTGGCCGAGAACCTGATTTTTGGACATTATGTTCGGAGACAGACGTCAAGTGCTAGGAAGTTTACGAAGCTGTGGACCCCTTTTCGCTGATGATGCGTCCTTGCGTTGAGAAGAAGACTGGAATAGGGAAGACAGGGGGGACAGGGGGACGCATCGGAGAGATCGTGGCCTCGGGAATCGTCCAAACGACATTCCTAATGGAACATGGGAAGAACCCCGACGCACATTGACGGAGCATGGAGGGGGCATGTCCGAGCCCATCCCGCCCCAAGAGAAAGTAACAGGGGGTCCAACAAGTTCGGAGGGTTGGATCCGAGACGACGTCTTTGGGCTGTTACCCACTAGGCCTAGCCACGTCCTGTGACATGATCGACTAATAAGCCGGGACAAGAGGAAAACGGACAACAGCAGGTCAGGCTTCTTTCTTGACTGAGAGGAGGGCAGAGGCAGGCGTCATAGTCAAGACTCAGCCCCGTCAAGTTGAACCTCCACGCAGACCAACATGACTTTATACCTATAGGTGTATATACCTATACCTTGAAAACCATCAAGCTGATAAAGACTTGCTGACGGAAACCCCTATCCGCAGTGTCTAAAAGCATACCAGGACGAAGAATAACGACACATGGACAGCCAAGACACGGGACTCGGAGAAAAACATGTCTGAAAGATATAGACAAGATCGACTGATAGCCAACTCTGCCCGTGACATTGACGTGCATGGATGATACATTACCATCGCATCGCATTGCCATCGCATTGCCATCGGCACCTCAGCATCCGTACGTTGTATGCATCGCCGTGGTCTCTCTTGTCTCTAATTAATTATCCACCGTAGCCATCTCACGCAAACTTCTTTCTCTCATGCAAGAACGCACCTCGCTTCCGTTCCAACAATTCATTAACCCTTCCCCCCGTGGCCATCCCACCAACGGAGAATCTATTGCATCTTTCTTGGCAGCATGCCGTTGACGCCCCAAATTCGCCATGTCCCAAGCCCCCAGAACTCCATTTCAAAGCAACAAACAAACCACGACGTGAGAAAAAAAAAAAAAAAAAAGACTGTCGGTCGTCATGATTATCATCTCGCCCCAAAGTCCACGGCGGTATGCTGTAAATCCCGTAGGTGTATATGTCGGTCCCCCTTCTTCCATATCCAGCTTGGAATGAATCAAGTCGTGTTCAAGTCGTGTGTGTCCATCCTTCTACGTTGTCGTCAACTTCGTCGGCCATCGCGTCTTTTCCAGCCCCAACGCCTTTACGCTCCAGCACAGCCGCCGCCACGACTTCCGCTGAGCACCCTACGTCCCAGCGTCTTCGGCCGACCCCCCAGGGCCAGCGCGCCAATCCCCGGGACACCACCTCCGCCAGCCGTGGAGGGCATCTCCGAAAGTCTCTTCGTCACCATCTCCGGGTCCGGTTCGTCCGCTCCGATAAATGTCCAGCTCTCTTCTTCCTCGGCCTCCGACAAGTCGCCACCGCTACCGCCACCGAGTCCGCCCTCGCCGTCTCCCGCCTCCTTCTTCTCGCCCTCCGTCTTGTTCTTGCCCGCCTTGCGCTGAATGATGCTGTGCGCGTACTCGAGGTCTCGGTAGATGAATTGTATCGCCGTTTCCACGCCGTTTTCCTGAGACACCCCAAGCCTTGGTAAGCATCTTTTCCCCAGAAGCTAGCATGACACGTCGGGGTCGAATACTACAACATACCTTGCGAATCTGCTCTCCGAGAACCCTCGCCTTGACAATCATCCGTTCGTTATGCGTGGCCTCCCAGAGCGCACGTCCAAACGTCATGGCCCCCCACTTCTTCAGAAAGATGCCGACGCCGAGATCCTCCACTCGGCTGCCGAAGAAAAACTGGTCGCCAAAGAACGGCCGGACGATGGTCGGGATCCCCGCCCGCAAGCTCGCCCCCGTCGTGCCGCTTCCTCCGTGGTGCGCCGCCGCGTCCATCTGCCGGAACAGCCAATCGTGCGGCGCGCTCTTGATCACGAAGATCTCCGGCGGTATGACCGGCTCCTCGCGCCTGGCTGCCGCTGCTCCGCCCGACTTTGGATCCTTTTCGTCCTCGTCGGTGCTCCTGTCGCCGTTATCGTGGCCGTCCTGCGGCTGCGGCTGCGGCTGCCGCTCGTTCTTTGCGAGCCGGTCCGACCAGCCCTTGGAGAGGACGCAGCGCACATCGGCCTTGAGCACGGCGTCGATCACCTCCTGCGTCATCTTGGCCACGTCGTTGACGATGATGGATCCGAACCCGACATAGACCAGCTTCTTCCCGTCCGCCCGCGCCTTGGCGATGAAGTCGGCCAGGTCCTGCGGCGGCTTGTAGTCGGCGCCCTCGTCGAGGAACCAGTACCCCGTGACGCGGATCCAGTCCGAGTAGTCGAGCGGCGGCGCCACCACCGACGGCGAGAAATTGTACAGGAACGGGACCTTGTTCGGCTGCATCTTCTCCAGGCTCGTGCTGCGGAGCTTGAGCGTCTCGTTGCGCCACCGGTTGATCTGGCCCGCCGTCGCCTTCCAGAAGATGTTGTCGAACATGACGTACGTCATGTAGTTGTAGGCCCCGCCCATCCGGTATTCGCCCATGACGAACGCGTGCGGGTAGGCCCGCGTCCGCGTCCACGGCATGGTGAACGCCCGGACGTACGGGATGCCGAGCGCCTCGGCGATGTGTATGCCCGCCATGACGCTGGGGCTCTCGATCAGCAGATCCGACCCCTGGCACGCCCGCCACGCCGACTCCAGCAGGCTGTCGAGCCAGCCACGGAACATCGAGTTGGCTTCCCGCAGGAACGACCACGTGAACACGCCGTTCTCGATGCACAGCCGCATGAGCTCGGCCGGGTCGCCGTCCACCTCGGCGAATTCGATGCCGTGGCCCTCGACCCAGCCCCGGAACTCGGCGTGCGTCGCGATGCGCACGTGGTGGCCTTCCGCCATCAGGCCCTTGGCCAGCGCGATGTACGGTTGGACGTCACCCCTCGAACCGATCGTCAGGCAGGTGATCCGCAGCGGCCGCGGCGGCTTGTACCGGAGGAGCGAGTCGTTCGGGTCGTCGTAGAGGATCGTGGGCGCATCGCGGCAGTCCGACGTCGTCTGCCGCGGGAGCTCGATCTCGTGGTCGGGGAACTCTTCCTGCCTGGCCTCCTTGAGCGCCTGCCGCTCGGCCAGCGCAAACTCGGCGTCTTGCGTGTCCTCGCGGCTGATGGTGCCCGAGCTGTCCAGGAAACGGAACCGCTCGATGCTCTTCAGCAGCGCGCCGAAGCAGTCGTCGCGCGCGTCTTGCTGGCTGAACTCGAAGAAGATCTCCTCGTGGCCGCGAATGACCACGCACAGACCCGAGTAGCCGAACCGAAAGCCTTTCTCCTTGTGCACATTCTCCACGTCCTTGAGCGGGAGGATGAGCTTCGTGCGCGTGCCCGGCAGGAGGCTGCGGTAGCACAGCGACCGGTCGCTCAAGTACAGCTTGCCGTAGAGCGGGAGGACGCGGAAGAGGAAGCCGAAATACGTCGCCTGCAGCTTCTCCGTCTCGGGCAGCGCGAAATGCGCGCGGAAGCGCTCCGTCGACTGCTGCACGTTCCCTTCGCCGTCTTCGTACAGGTCCTCGTCTTCTTCCCTCATCTCTGTCGGTGCGTCGTAGTGCTTCCGTCCGCCCTTCCACATGCCCGAGACCTTCTCGACGTAACCCATGGACTCGGCAGCTATGAGGGAGCTCATCCGCCGGCTCGACCGGTTTAGGTACTCGGCAAAGGCACCCACGCGCTGGAGGGGGAACGTCCCGATCTGGGTGATGGTCTGAAGGGTCGGGGCGCCGGACGCTTCGGCGTGCTGACCGGCGTGGGTGGCGAGCGCCGGCGGAGGAGCCGGGGTGCTCGCCGACCTGTGCTGTGCTGCAAGCGGAGGGCGTTGCCGATCTTGCCTAGAGGCCGAGTCGTGCCGACCGATGGTCGGGCTCTGGAAGACGTCGCTGCGCTGTAAGATCTGACTGGCCGAGGGGTCTTCGACCGACGAGACGCCGAGAGCCGAGTAGCTCGGATCCTCCATGGAAGACCTCGCAAAGGAGTCGGATGACTCGTTCTTGTCCGGGATTGGGGATGACGGCATAGGCGCGGACGCGGACGCCGACATGTCCTCGAAGCGGTGCCTGCTCACTGACCGGCTTCCGCTAAAAGTCCGGGGAGAGCGGTCGCGGGTGACGCTCGACATGTCAGCGCTCCCTCTCCGACCAAGGCCCTTCAGTAGGTCGAGGCTGCCACGAAGGGCGTCGAAACTACCCCGCCGCGCGTCCTGGCTCGGACGAGGGCTTGTCGCGTTGGGACTGGCTGAGGCCATAGGGCTCAGTGTCGCCTTGACGGGTTCGGGAAGCCGTGCCGTCCTGATCTGGCCGGGGCCGACGCTTCGCCGTTTGGTCATGGATAACGATGGTCGGCCCGCAGATTGATCAGATGGTTGACCAGACGGCTGCCCAGATGCGGTTGCCCCGGGTGTCCCATCATCGAGGGCTTCTATCTTCGTTCCATCTTTCTTCTGTCGGGCCGAGGCGTCTTCAAAGAGGATTCTGAGGACGCTGATGGCCTCCTTGCCAAAACTGAAAAAGGAGAAGAAGTACTCATCGATGGCGAAGGTCTCGTCATTGTCGATGACGCGTATTTTACACGTGTCGGCGAACTGCAACATCTGAGTGTCCTCGATATCGATGATGTTGTCGATGGGCATGGAGATCTTGACGCTGTCGCCGTCGTTGTGGGAACGGAATATGACGCGCTGGAGGCTCTGGACCCATTCCTTGGCGCTCGGGGCGCTGTCGGCGCGAAAGTAGTAAGTGCGATAGCTAGTAGTTACGGTGAAATGTAACCCCTCCTTGTCCTTGTCGGTGATGCTGGCGGAAATACCGTAGCGTAGGTCGACCTGGCCGCTGGGAAAGTAGAGGTTGGAGGATTCGCGGTAGTAGGCGAGGACGTCTCCTTTGAGGCGGAACCAGTAGCGGTTATATGTCGGGTTGCGTTTGCCGCTTTTGGAGAGGTATCCTGACTTTACGACTTCGTTCTGGGGGAAGGGAAAGGAAGACTCATTGTTAGGACAAGCTTGACTTTGAAGAAAGCGAACGGGGGGGGGGGGCGCAAGACACGAGATGCGAGGTGCGATATGTGATGTGCGGAGTGCGAAATAGTACCGGAGCGCTTTGGAGAGGGGGACACAACTCACAGCCTTCTTTGGAAGGTAGGCATAGAAGCAGACGTGTCTCGCCGTGATGTACATGTAGCCTTGCAATAAGACGGTCTGTAGGAGCCAACACGGGTATTCTTTTGACGGAGAGTTAGTATGGCGGTATGAGTATGGCTCGAGCCCAGAGGGGCCAACTGAGCAGTAAAGGGAAGGGAGAAAAAGCAAACCTTCGATGACCTCCTCGGGCTCAGAAAACTCGAAAATCTGAGCAAGGCGGACGGCCAAAGGACTGGGTCCGGGTTCGGCGCCCATGTCAAAAGCGCTGGTTAATTCGTCGTCCGTCGGGCGACGGTCACGATCGAAGCTAGGGCGTAATGTCGCATCGGCGCGGGCCTCGAGCATCCTGCTCATGACGGGAGCCAGCCTCGGTGCGAGGTCACCACGGTTGGAGGTGGCGGAGGACGATGATATTTGGGCGTCGGAATGGAACGATTCGTTCATGTCGTCGGAAGGGGACTCGCGTTGGCTGGACCGCCTCGACAGCCCGCCTATCTTCTCGGACAAGCGAGGAAGAGCGGCCAGAGTGCGGGCGAGCTTTTGTTTGGAACGACTGATGGAGGAACGTCTATGCGGCTTCAGAGCATCAAGGATGGCAGATTTGGAGGCGGAGGGTTGTGTGTCGTCGGGACGGGAGCGGTGGCGAGAATCACGACGGCCAAGGGGGTCAGAACGGTCACTGTGATGGCGCGGAGTGGCCGTTAGACGACTCGGATCGTCGTCTGCATCGTCCTCCTCGTCGCTCGATTGGCCTTCGAACCTATCGTGGAAGTTGACACGAGATCCGGCGGCGGCGATGAGACCGAATATGCTTTGGTTCATGTGCGTGAACATGTTCGGACCTTGGGCGGGGACAAGATCTTCCTCCTCGTCGCTGTTATCGCCGCCTTTCAATCGATCGGGGAGATCCATGGTTGTGGAGAAAGTTTCGCTTTTCCTTTTTTTCTGAAGCTTTCGACTAATACGCCTCCTAGAACCTTCTTCCAACGCTGGTGATGCGATAGGACGCCCTGAGAAATGTGGCTTGGGCGAGGGCGAGCCAGAGCGCGCCATCTTGGAAGAAAAAAAAGGGGGGGGGAGAGAGAGAGAGGCGAAGAGATAAGGTAGTTACTTATCAGACAGGGAAAGTAAATTGTATCCGTAGGTCACTGTGGCCGATGGCAGATAACAAGCCAGCACTGCAGGAAAGGGATGCAGCCACAATAAGTCGTGGGTTTTGACGTGGTGTCCAGGTTTCTGTATGTGGACCAGGAGGATGCAACCTTATGTGAACTTGGATAACAAGCTTTGGTTCGTCAACCCCACTGCCATTTGGTGGTGGCCTTGTTTTCTTCGCTTTTTCTTCGATCTTTCTCCCTTCTCTTCTGCGTCTTGTTTCCAACGTCAAATGATTGTCGAACGAGACGATGTTATGTGTGGCGAATGGTCTGGATACTCGAAGCCCCTAGAGGGAATCGATGCGTGGAAACAAGAGGCGTTGCAGGGTGAGAGCGAATGGATGGGTATGCCGTCGTGCAATGTACTGGCACTGCAACGCGGTGTCGACGCAGTGCAATGTCGTGTCGACTGTCGTGGCTTTGTGGTGCTTTGCCTGCCTGGTCGAATGGGAAAGGTGGTGAGGGAGGTGGGAGGAGGGAAAAAGGATGAGGGTTCAGAGTGGCCTAGTGGCTATTCCGTGTCGTCAGAGGGTGCGTGCATCTGCGGTGAGACAGGTTAGTCGGTGGACGGCACGAGGTCTGACAAGGGGACAAGAAGACAAGGGCCCGGACAGGCTGCAGCTCGGGAGTGACGGCCGCAAGGGACTACTTTACTTGCCTGGTATTCGCAGGATGGGCAGAGGAGAAACGATTCGGCAGAGGGGGGCAGAAGAGCGGAGTAAAAAAGGATGGTTCGAATAGGGCGAGAGACAGTAACAGGGTGGGTGACGAGTCGGTGAGGCCAGAAACTAGTACTGTGAAGCGATAGACGAGTTTGATGATCAGATAGGTATGCGGTCGCAGGTACGGCGTCGTCTTGTAGGTTGGCGAAGTGGGACGGACGGCAGATTCTCCTTTTGATGGCGTGACGGGATTTTTCGACAAAACGAATGAGCTATCGAGAGTAGACTAGGCGGGTGAGGGATGGATGCTGCCGTCGCTTCTGCAAAGGATGTCCAGCAGAGTCTCTATCGGTCTCCTTGCCGTTGACTCCTAAGGGGTGACCGATCTGCTGGAGGGAGTGGAGGTCTTGATGCACGATAGTGGCAGCTCGAGGCCAGTCGATTCAAGCCCTATTTCGTAGCCCCTGAGAGTTTGTAACGTGATAGAAGGTCGAAGGTGTCAGGGCGTAGGGGCATAGTTCGAGGAGGGTTGGATATGGATAGAGGGCAAGAAGAGATTTGGGGGGGATGGGATGGTGCATGGGCATGAGGATGATGCCGGGGTCGGGGTCGGGACTCGATGGATGATAACGGGTCAAGGAAACAGTTATGTCAGACAGTACAAAGTGTGGTACCTGCCAAGGATGAAGTGAGTCGGAAGGTTAGGTTCTATCAGGTACTTCTGCCACTACTCATGCTTTGGGTACCATATGAATGTCTCAAATGCAGCGCTGTTTGAAAGTACTGATTAGAATAAGCCTTGGTAATATACTTGTTCTATACTTAAAATGTGCTGTGACAGGCCAATGGGTCCCGTACATGTTTTGTACTCGGGCTTTTCGGCAGTCACCAGTCATATTGAACTGGGTCGTGACTGCCTGGAAGGAAGATCCTGGATATTACACTTACTAGCTAGTAGGTACCGTGCTTACTCAGGATAGGTACTTTGTACTTTGTACTTTGGACGTACGACTTGTTGATACCACTGATAAGCATGTGAATCGGCGAAAGATAAGACACGCATCAGGTAAGGTACCAAGGTACAGACACCTCCCTCGAGTCGAGGATAAAATACGAGCCCTGACTCCTCATATTCCAACAAACAAACCATTACTCCCCTTGCGGGGATTTTGGGCCGTGTCTTGGAGTCCCTTTCTGATCCGCGAACCCCCGAAACCCGACCCGGACACCTCGACGGGGATGCCGCGTGATTCTGTGGAAGACGAAATCCGCAGAACCGCTGGGCTCATCAAAGCAAGCGGACTCTTCGGAAGTGTCTAGGTTGAACGGCAAGAGGTTATCACAGATCTCCGTGGAATCATGTTTTGTATGCGATCATCGACGACGTCTTCTCTCATTCTCTCATCTCTCCTGGTCACCGGGTCGCAGACTCGCAGGGGGGGTCGAGGGGTCGAGGGGTCGAGGGGTCGAGTCATCAGATGTCCGTCCCATTCTTCCCATGAATCCGATGCCGGCTTTGATACTTCATCTATCCGTAAACGTCAAGAGATTGGCTTGATTACATGTACCAACTGATGGAATCCGTCTCGACGCCTTCTCATCCCTTCTTCTCATACGGCTTATCTCTAAGCTTGAAGCCACAGAAGCAAACGAAAGACGGCTCTTTGAATCGTAACGCCTTTCTCCAACCCCCCTGGCAGCCGGTCGTGTCCTCGGGTTTCTCATTCCACGGGTATATGTACTGAGTATCCATGGTTGTGTGTTGTATTTGTGCATCATATGCATCGGTCGTCTTTCCACCATATTGTCTTGCGCTGTCCCGCCTGGAGCCTCAAAATGCTGCTATTCCAGCACATTACATCCACAGTGTAAGCTTGCCAGAGTTATTTCCTCCAGCCACCCAATCCATGGTCGGGTGGAATTGCGCCACCGCAGGGACGGCTGTGATGCCATCTCCGTCCAGCTGCGCCAGCTGCTCCCCATCTGCGGCGAAGACATCCACGAACCGGTTCATATTTCCGATGACGAACTTCTGGATTCCGTCGCGGGGTCGCATCTGCCACTTAGGCTTGAGAATCGTCACCCAGCGGCCGGTCTGGTTATTATGCCGCACCACGTGCGCCGGCTCCATCTCGTCCTCGTCGATTTCGTGTCCCGGGCTCCATCCCCCGGCCCGGCTCCCAAAATCGTAGATCTTGATGGTGTCGTCGTACGACGACGTCGCCACGTGCCCCGCCCCGCTCCATGCCGCGTGCGACACCGACAAGCGGGATCTATGCTCGCCGAGAAGCGCGGGGTGGCGCGATCCTTCCCTGCCGCTCATCTTCCTCAAATCCCAGATCTTCAGCGTCCGATCCAGCGACGCCGTGGCCACAAGGTGCGGATGAGCGGGGTGGAGGGAGAACCCCCCGATTTTGTTGTCGCAGAGGGACCACACTTCGTGCTCGCTGGACGGGGTGCGGATGTCATGTTTCCCGATACAGCCATCCAGGGTCGAGAAGAAGAGGATGTTCGGGTCATTGGTCGGCATATCCATCGCTGACATTGACATGTCCTCATTCAAGTCTGCGGGGGCGAAGATTTGCACCGAGACGCCTTTGTCCAGGTCCAGTTTGCGGATCGTCGAATCGTAGGAAGAGGTGAACACGGCATTCGCGTCCGCGGGGGAGAAGACGAAGGATGTCGCTGTCTTGGTGTGGAGCTTGAAGGCCCCTATTACCGGGTTGGGGGGGTCCCAGTCCTCGTCTTCATCGGCGGGAGGTTCGGGGCCCTCCTGGGAAGCATCGAAGACTCCGACCGCGCCTTCTTTGTCGCCGGCGAAAATGACGGGCTTATCTTGGGTCGGGTGGAAAGCTAGTGAGTACACCCGTTGCGGAGTGATCTTGATATCTGGTCGGGTGACGGACAAGAGTCAGTGAGGGAAAATACGACAAGAAAAGGAGCAGAGAAATAAACGAAGAAAAAAGGGAAGAGTAGCCCGACCACGGCCTAGAACAGACAACGTACCATTTGGAACCCATTTCTCATACAACGTGAGGCCATTCATACGTAACCTCAAGGCCTTCAAATCCCCATCCGTGGTATTTTTGACATCGTCATCGGTAAAGGTGCGAAGACCGGGCTGGGCACCATGCGACAGACCTTTGAGCCCCTGCAGCCCATCCATCCCGGAACTCCACTTCTTCCCCTCGACGAGAGTGTCTCCCAAGTTCAGGTCCCCCGAAATGCGCATCTTCTTCGTCCTGTCCGATGGTGACGCCACCGCGACAGCCTGGTCGAGCTTGCGCTTCCCATCGTCGAGATCGGCCTGAAGACCGGCCACGCGGGAGCTGCGTCGCGTGGGCATGGGGGACTCGCGCTTAACGGGCGCCTCACGTTTCCGCGACGCCGCAGCAGACCGAGGCGTTCGCCCGGACGAAGCAGCTGAAGGTGTGGCCTTGGCTCGGGGTAGTATCTTGCTCGCGGTTACCGAAAGATCTTTGAGAAGGGCCTGGTTCGCGGCGATGTTTTCCAGTCTTCGGCGCTCGAATGCGCTCAGTCCGCCCCGAGCCGTCTTCTTCGTATTTGCCTCGACATTATCGGTTGTGGTTTCGTTCGCTGGCGATGCGGGTACATCTTGTTCGGTATCGTGTTCTTCCACCTTGACGCCGTTGACCTGGTGTCGGGAACTGGCTCTTCTAGTGACAGGCATGGTGTTAATATTTTCTTTCCGGACGAGAAACTTGCGCATGTTCGTGGACCGTAATTGCCTCCTTCCTACTTTGACTCGTGATGCAAACAGAAACGGGAGACGCGTTAATGGATTTCGACGCGTCCTGCCACTGGCACCGTCTCTGGTCAATGCTGTCATATTCTATTACGTGAGCCACGGTATGGTGCTCTCCTATTGTTTAGAGGTGCCCTACTATCCTCGCTTAGAAGGTGGCAGATATATTTAGGACACGTATACCCGCCCCCTTTTTCTTTCTCTTTTATAGATAATATAATTAAATATTTCCTGAATTAACGCTCCCTATAAGTATACTCCCGTTAATTTAATAGTTATAAGCCCGGGTAGTAGTAGTAACTAATAACTTCCTGCTAATCTATTATCTACGTTTATTTTTCTATACTTTTATAGTATTACGGAGCCCTCCTACGCTCTCTCTCCTAATAATAACCTTTATTCGCTAAACCCTTACTCGATACTATATCGAATAAGCTTAAGATCACGGCTAAAGCGCTCGGTATCCCGCGCCTTAAATCCACGCGGTAATAGGCCGATTAAATCTTCTATATCTAGTCGTATATATAAGGGATAAAGGTCTAGGCATTACTTAATCCTAGCTAAAAAGATTAGCTAGATAACCGTCCTAAGTATATTATACCTAAATCCCTAGATTAACTACGCGAATAGTATTCCTAAGGTAAGGGCGATAATACTATCGTGCCCTTAACGCAGGAGCTTATATGTGAAACGCCCTAGATTCTACCGGGAACGCCAGGGCGTACTATAGGCGTACCACGGGCGTACTATAGTATAAGCTATAGCACGCACGGGGTATACTATAAGTACCTTTAGTGTATACTATAGCTTCCCTGGGTTATACCCAGGTTCCTGTATATAGGATCCGAGGATTCCACGGGGTTTACCCGTGGAATACTTAAGTCCTAGGGGCGCGCCCCCTTAGCTTAGAGAAGATATCTTTATTACACTGTATTTTCTATACCTAAAGGTCACCCCTTAAGAAAAAGCCTAGCTTATAGGTCCTATAGTACTAGCTAGCTAGGGATTTACCGGTTAGGTATATTAAATAGTAGTAACTAAGCTTTTAGGTAAGGTTCGCGCACCGCCGCCCGGCGCGAACTACGTATACTAAGACTAAATAGACACGTGGTTTACTAGCGAACGCTGGCATACTAGGCGTAGCCGCCCTTAAAGGCGTGAACTTCGTGTGCTAAGACTAAATAGATATAAGGCGCGCTAGGCGAAGACGCCTCCCCTTTAATAGGTTTAGGCGTGGAGCGATAAAGGGAACCACCGTTAAGCGTAGGAATAGCGACTATACTAACCTATACTAGCCGTGGAACCCGAGCTTTAACACCGCGATAACCTTCCTAATAATCGCTAACGATAACCGTTCGTAACGATCGCTAAAAGGCGTAGGATAGCGACTATACTATCCTATATACTAGCGTCCTCCATAGAACTAGAGTCCCGATAAAAATATAGAGCACTAACCTAATCGCCTCCCCTTTACTAGGTCTAGGCGTAGAGTATACTAAGGATTCTATAATCGCCAGGTAAGCGTAGGAATAACGCCTATACTACGAGTATAAGCATCTATTATAAATCCCTAACTCTAGTATAATACTAATCTTCCTAATAATCGCTAGTTAGCGTAGGCGATTATACTAACCTGCACCGACGCTAACCGTTCTAGATCGCTAAAAGGCGTAGGATAACGACTACTATCCTATATACTAGCGTCCTCCGTGGAACCCGAGCTATAGTAAAGAACCACGGGGCGTATTAATTCCCCCCCCTTTTATCGTAGCACCGAGCTACTCGATAATTTCCCCTTTTCCCCCCCCCTTTACCGTGGCACCGAGCTACTCGATAATCCCCCCCCCCCCCCTTTTTTCTTTCCCCTTTTCCCGCGGAGTATAAGGGGAGCTAGCCTCCCCTTACTATAACCTTCCCTTTACCTATACTTCGCAGAGAATATTTTCCTCCTAGCGCGGCTCGCCTTTATCCGACTAGCTAAATATGCCGAGAATATCTAAGGCTAATAGCATAATAACCCTAAAAGGAAAAGTATAGAACTAGTATCCGTGCGAGAGGCTATATATCCTAAGGCCTAGGGGTATATCCTAGTCTTTATCGGATTTACCTAAGGCCCCTCGGTTATCCTCCCTATTAGAGGGAGGGCTTCCTCTTATTCTACTAGCCTTTATCGGGTTTACCCGAGGTTTCCTCGGCTTTCCTCCCTATTAAAGGGAGGGCTTCCTTTTAGCAGACTCGCTTTTAACCGTGACCGATAAGTCGGATATCCGGATAACGCCGTGGATCTAACTATAGACCCGTTCCCCGGGCGAAACGCCGAGGTAGGCTTAGGCGATACTAGCGATTAGGACGCCCGCGGGACGTAGGGCTTATATCGTCCAGGGCAGATACTTAGGGACGTTAGTTTATAACTAAGCGGATACTAAAAGAAGCTATAGAGGCGCAGGAGCTAATTAACGGATTAATGTCTGTAAGGTTTAGATAAAGACTTTAGTTAATCTAAGGATAGCCTTAAAAAGGATAGAGGTTCTAAGGGTGCTATAGCCGGGTAATATTAAAGAACTATAAGTAATAAAGAACCGCGAGACGTTAAAGAGCTATACGGCACGCGGCGGAACTAGAAGACTAAAGTATTATAAGGCACGCCGGCGATACGATATAAGATAAACGTTACCGCCGCCCTAGGTACTAACCGTAAATGCTAGGGAATACTAGGGAATAGTAAGAATAAAGGGACTATAGCCTATATACACCTTCTATTAGCCGCCGTAACGACCACGGTTACTATAGCGCTTTACGCGGCACTAGAAAAAATACTATTACTCCTATAGCGCTCTGCTTTTATTCCCCTTCCTTTCCTATTCACCACCACCGCCATTAATTTATATCGCTAATATAGTTTACTATTAGCTCCTAAATCGTTTATAATCGTCCTATTATTTCCTTTTATATAATTATCGTTTTATAACGTATACACTTCTTTTACTCCTTTTTCCTTTTCTCCGGAGCTGCGGGACCGCACGGCGGGCACCGTACTTCCCTATACCGCCGTAACTATCTTTAAGTATAGTCGATATATTCTATTTCGTAGTTAAGTTCCCTAGCCACTAATAGCCGTTTAAGGATAACGACTATAAAAAGCTATTCGAGAAGTTCTTTAAAAGTAGTAAGAAGATCGGCCTAGGTTTTTAGAAGGAAGGCTACTTTCGTGCTATTATATTATACGGAGGTGAAAAACGTCTAAAAACCGAATTATCTACCCTCGGTACCCGTTTTAAGCTATAGAAGCAGGGTTATAAGGCGAAGATTAAGGCGTTCTGCTAGTATACCGAGGAACGCGGCTATACCGACCTAAAGACGCGGGATCTCGATTATATAGTCTTTATCCCCCCCGAGTATCCTAAGGTTTACTAGGTCGTCTCCCTCTTTAAGGCATACGCTATCGTCCGCCGATTCTCTTAGCCGGACTACCTACTAAAAGCTAATAAAGACTTTATAGGCTAGGAATAGCCGGAAAAGCCGTTTAAAACGTTTATTATAACCCGCGAGCGTAATTACGCCGGAAGGTTTACTAAGACGCTATAAAGGCCTTGGACGTTAAGCACGGACTCCTTAGATATTACCTTAGGACCTTAGTCGACGGTATATATTAACCTAGTAACGGACGCTAAGAATAGTCTCTCCTAGGGAACTACCGTGGCCCTAACTAATAATAGCACCCGTAGAATAATAACTATTCCTCGATATATAGTAAACTACTAGCTTAAGTAAACGTTTCTCTCTTAGGCTATATATAACCTTATTACTATTTAAGGTAAGACTATCTCCGAAGACGAGTTTGAACGTAAGTCTAAGGAATACGCTAAGGAAGCCGCGAGGCGTAATAAGCTAGCCCGTGACTTTCTTAAAGGTATAACCTTAAGCACCCACTAAGTAAAAGGGTAAGCGGTTAATATCCCGTCGGTTACTAAGTTCCTAGGCTAGGTTTGCCTAGGCGAAGCGCTAAGCCTTACTACTCCGGCTAAGATAACTAAGAGACCCGCTACTAAGCTTACCGGTATTAACCCTATACCCGCAAAGCGTATAGTAGTTAAAAGCTTATAGGAGAAGATATATTATAGGTATACTGTGAGGAGTGATAGGCGACTGCTAAACGATATAAGATCACTTAGGGACTGGTAGGAACTAAAGAGGGGGTATCGTGATAAGATTGTTCGTTGAGTCCTTCTAAGACTCTAGGAACTATAGAAGGCACTCCCCTCTTTATACCTACCTAAGGTCTTCTAACTAAGTAGGTGGCGAGAGGCCTCCTTAGAACTAAGTTCAGGCGTAAGCTGGTTCCTAAGATAACTAGCTTACTAGATCTAAGCTAACTTCTAAGCTAACTAGCTTATTTAACCTCGACGCGTCGTATCTCTAACGGTCTAACCTGACTACGATCCCCCTATCTATATATAAGTCTAGTGCTAGTCCTGCGGCAACGCATAAGCACTATATATTCTGATAAGATACTTATAGACGTGGTTAAGACGTATAGCGCTAAGCTTCGTAACGAGAAGGAGAAAGCTATATACTACTCGATAAGCGCGAGCGGATAGACCCTAACTATCGTGTAGTAGTGTAACCACGGTATTATACTCCTTATTCCGGTAGCTAGATAGCTATATAGTTTTATTAATAATATTATCGCCTTAAACGCTATATAGAATGCTATAGACTTTACCTAGGTTATATAGTACCTACGTTTAGGTAAGATAGTATACCTGGCTCCCTTAGGAGTTAACTTAGAGCTATCGCCTATATATAGGGATTAGCTTATCTAACGCGTTACCGCTAACTAAGCGCTCTCTATCCGTATAGTTCTTACGTACGCCGCTATCTAATATTAATACGATAACCGTAGTATAAAGGGACTACTAGTATTC